ACTACTGTTTAACCTTAACCCACAGCATAATGCAGACAGGGTAATGCTGATCAGATACACTATGTCTTAGCAACAACATAAGGCAGGAAGCTGGAATCACTTCCCTCTCACAGCCAGATAGGCAAAGCTCTCCAAAAGCATTTGGCAGTAGAGGAAGTACTTGAGTAACACCAGAAAGACAACAGTTTACTGTTATCTTTTAACAGACATTAGAAAAAACCATATATGCACTGAAAGTTTCCAATAAACCCAAATCTGAAACAAATACAACTGAGCTGTTGGTGCAGATTGTGTCAAGCTACCTGAATAGCACTGGACAGAAGGTCAGAGCCAGGGACCTAGACCAGCACTATGCTGCAGACAAAGTGGCATAGAACAGGGTGGGTGCCCAAGCATAGCAGCACGCTCCAGAGCTTTAGCATCAGGAACTTGTCCACACGAAGACAGGGATGTGGCCAGGAAAAGGACCCTGCCCACAAAGCCAGGCTGTCAAGCAAGTTGTTGGTGCAGGTCTGAAGACAGCTGTCACTCCCAAGTACCTTCCAGAGCCATCCTCTGCAACACCTGAACATTCCCCATCTCCCAAAGGCTCGGTATAGACCTGACCAGCAGCAGGTCAGCCGATCACATTCTCCAAGCACAGGGAGCTGAAGGTGTCTGCGTGGAGTGTGGGCGAGCTCAGACCATCTGGCTGCATTAAGAGGCAGATTGTGAGAGGAAGCACAAGCTGGGAGAGGCTGGATAACTCGTGTTGTGGGGAAGAGCAGAGAGTGTTTTTTGCAGAGGACTGAACCAAACAGGCAGGGAGGAGCAGAGCTGGTGCTGAGCTCCCAAAGTAATGTCCCAGTGCAGCCAGCAGCCACATTGGTGCTAAAAGCAATCCACTTGCTCTTAAGACATTCTTCCCCACTAGAAGTCTCTGCCATGTAGTGCCCAACGAGCTCCTGGAATTCCTGAACCAGCCCTTATACTCCCATTTTTCTGCTAGAATTTTTCTCCCTACTGGGGCTTGACAATGGACACAGCAAGGAAGGTCTCTGGCCCACCCTCTACCTGGATTTACAGCCTAAGAACAATAGTAACCTGGAGGACAAAAGGTGAAAAAGAGAAGGCATCTCCATCTGGAGAGAAGGCAGCATTCCAGCCAGCCAGAGACAGAACATGCTGCAGCTGTAAGAGGAGGAACAGGAATTTGTAGCAGTAGAGTGTATGTACCCACATACAGCCTGGAATTGACCCTAATAACAGGCTGGTTATGTATTGAATGTGCATCTTGCACAGCTAAAAAGGTGTCTCAAACCACTGGCTACTCAGGGGTGTATCCACTTTATTAAACTGGAGATTTTTTTCCCCAGCAGTGCACATTTTGTCCTCAAAGCCCACAGCTCCCACTCATCTCAGTGCCCACTCACCATCTATGAAAATAATGCTGCTTATGTGAAGCTTCGTTTCATCCAAAGAACTTGAAGTACAGTCAACACTTTGGAAACTGTCCTTTACCTCCAATACTCTCACTTTCCAGGGTTTCCTTCTATTCCTAGTTGCTTTGAAAGGTTGGACAGTTGCAGCAGCAGGAAGCCAAAAGAAGATCCAGGAGCTGTGCTTTGACAGCCCTGGTCTACTGCCAATGCAAGCATGGAAGTGAAGCTCAGCTAGATCCAGCTGAGGGATAGGGAAGATGTTCAGGGATCAGGCAAATTCAGACTGAACATGGTCTAAATCAAAAGGGAGATGAGAAGCCCCTTGACTTCCCTATTGATCCACACTTGGCTGAAACAACTCATCCCTCCTTGGCAGAAGCAAGGCCATGCCAGATGATGTACAGGATACCTCTAAATCCCTGACACGATGTTTTGGTGTTTTGCAAATTTAGGCTCCCACAGGAGGGTGATGTGAGAGAGCTTGTCAGACCAAGGAAACAGCTTCAGCCTGCAGCTGTACCAGAGCATTCCTCCTGCTCCAACACTTGGCTAGATGCAGATGTCAATGCTTTAATCCTGGTCATCAGCCCACACTCACAGCTCAGGCACACTCCTGCCTGTCAGCTTCTTGCTTTTCTTAGCAAGAGAGGGAGGTGGCTGCACAGCCAGGCTTTCGTTCTCCTGCACAGGGGTGGGGGGAAGACTTTTACTGCAGTACAACAGCAAATACCTTGAAGTGATTTCAAACTCCCCACCCTCTACCGACACCCCTGCCCTACAGAGTTCTTACACAGTTTCCCAAAAACCTTAACCACAGAAATACCATCTTCTCATTAAATCTATACACCAGTCACTTCCAAGTCCCCCAGGTCCTGCACAAGCTGTGTGAAAAGTGAAAGAGTGCCTGAAATATTAAACAATTTCCTCTGCTCCCCCTAGGCAGGGAGAGACAATAGTTAGCCTGGGAGGGGTCCATGGTCCCCTGCAGTGTGATCCACAGCCCACATCTTTGCAGACCTGTTATCCCACTCTGTGTACCTACCCCAGCAGTGCAGTTTGGCCTTCCCAGCACAGGAGCTCCACTCCAGGCTCTGCAAGGCCAGCACAGCAAGTCACAACAGGGGAAAAAATAAAAGCTAGGGAGAGACAGAAGTTTCTTGTGTCCCCATCAACAGCACTGGAGTTAATAAAGCTGGTCATGCTTAGGTGCCCAAGTCTGACACACTTCTGGAAACACCAGTCTCACCCAACTAAAACCCTGCTGGAAGGTCCTTGTTATCAGCAGTGCAAATTTATCTTCAAACAGGAACAGCTGAACAGCAGACAGAAGTACCACTAGGCAAATCAAAGCAGAGCTCTGGAACAATTAAAGGCACCTGTGATTCTATTCATTGAAAGTTACCTTGCCTTTCAGTAGCTGTCCCAAGATACCAATAGAATTAAAGGCTACATCTCTTCCCACTATCTACAAGGAGAATATCTATGTCATTTCCAAATATGGCTTAGAAAAGGGTTTAAAGCAAGAGATTGATCCATTTTGGGGTTATGGGTGTATTATATGGGCATGTCAGTGGGAAAACAAGACACAGGGGCAAAAAGGCCAGGAACCTGATCAGATACTGGTAATACATTGCTCATAATATGAAAGATGCCCATTCCTACCCTGGTTTCTAGGATGCTGAGAACTGCCAGCAGGTCTTTCTTTCATCTCGGTACCAACAAACTCAAAGGTCAACTTTTGCAGAACTGGAAGAACATTTGTTTCCCACGTTTTCCTTAGCCTGTTGCTCCCTTATCCCCACGTCCAGCTCACAGCTGAATAGCCACGAGATAATGGCAGCTTTTGGTCATATGGCTTGCCTGAATGTGTCAGCATAAATCAACAGGCCACTCCACAGATCATTTCCATTAATTTATTTTGATTCATTTGATACCCATTTGGAAACAATATGATGCAAAATAGACACAAAAATACACATCAGCCTCTTCAAAAAAGCTCACAAATGTTTCACAAAGTTTCCTCCTAAAGCTCAGTTTTTAAAAAAATACTTTCCACTTTATTCCATCACACTTCACATTATCATTAGATGAATTCCATAAAGACAAGATCTTGGGAGGCTGAATTCCCACATTTCAGAAAGAACCTCACCTGCCTGCAGACAGATTTTTGCTGCATGAACATCCTGGTAATGACAAAAAAAAAATCCTTGGTAACTGTAGAATTTTTCACTGAAAGGAATACAGGAAAACACATCCATAATCACACACGCTTCCTGCCCTAATGAGGCAATATACATTCATATAGGAGGAAAAAAAACAAGCACATTATTAAGACATTAGGCAGTGAGGCAGTATCTATTTTATCTTCAGAAGAAATTTTACAGCAAATGGTTTCATTAAGACACTTGAAAGCAACCTACTTTGAAGGGAAAAAAAAGCACCATCATAGCATGAAGGCTGAAACGTGATTAGGAGTCACAAGCAGCACCAGCTCAGGCCCACCAGTGACTTTTGTCATTTGAGGACAAGTTAAATGAAGGAACAGTTGATGTGAGGACCTGTGACTCGCCTACAAAAAAGCACAATGCAGGAAGACACAGTTAAAGAATGCTAAGCCACCACTTCCAGGGTGTATTTAATGGTGCACTGTTCCTACTACAGACACCAAACAGTGAGGTGATGGCATTTGGGCATAGAGGGTGTAACACTACAACATCAGCAACATCAGAATAACACCAGAACCCTGGCCTGCTAAGAGCTGCCTGGTCTGCAGAAGTCCAAATTATCTGTGAAACAACAAATGCCTCTTAAAAGGTCGTGAGTAAAGCAAGATAAACTAACTTCCAAAGTCTGGGTGGAAAAACATCAAGGCCGGCTATTACCAAAATCCTTCCCTGCTCTTGATCAGCTTTGAGTCCTTTCTTCACACACAAGGAAAACTTTCAAGAGCCAGCAGGGTACTGTTTTCTGCACTGCCAGGCATACAGCTTTACAGGTGAGACACCGGTCCTTGCCTGAAGGTCACATACAACCCACAAGTCCCCTGTCACAAGCAGGCTGCTCTCACTGCTACAACTCCCAAGCAGCATGGATCTAGGCAGCTACTAACACAAGGAGCCCAAAGACTGACTGTATGCTTAGATTTTAACATTTTTCTATTAGCATGGTCAGTACCAAGCTGAGCAGGAAATTGCTCAGAAAAGAAACTGTTCCTGAGCACACCAGATCACAACAGTTTGCCCTTGCAATAACTGCAAAGGGAGCATTACCCTCCAAGGGTTTCCTGCTAATTCTCAGGGATGTTAAAAGGAGCTCCTAAGTATGCATCTGAAAGGATTGAAACTCTTCTGCCCATTTAGATGCCTTTTAAATAGCCTATTACTTTATGTTTCTCATCTCCCGATGCATTCACAAAGCAAATCCTATCAGGAAGAGGTAAACCAATGCCATGCCGTTAAAGAAACAGTCACCATTACTATGCAGATTACAGCCACCTGAACTTCCCGGTCGCTGAGGAACCGGCATTGCATTTTACTCCTAAAAAAAAAAAAAAAAAAAAAAAGTCCCATCCTTGCAACCCTTTAGTGGCTTGAATGGTTTCAGTTCCCCCTGGAGCCAGTGCAAAAAATGAAATTTACTTTAGCACTTCACCCCCACTCTACTGGAGCATGTTTGACCAAGGTACAGAATGGTTAGATTAGTCTCAGGTCCTTTGTCCCTAATCTGCACTCCAAATTCCATGCTGCCTGGGAGAACAGCCCAGAGAGAGTCTCAGTGTAAAAAGTTCAGATGAAACCCAGCCACTAAGAGCTCACCGAGAGACAAGGGGAAAGGCTACAGTGACAGACAGGCTGCGAAGTTGCAACCGATCTCTGCCTGTGGGAGCAAGTGAGCACCACGGGGTCAGCACTGCCAGGGAAGTGCCCTGCTATCTGCTCTGCTTTCTCCAGCCAGGAGTAGCAGGACGCTGAGAAATCACTTATCTCAAACATGTAAAAGCTTCCAGAGCTCATTCAGCCCGTGGGAACAGCATTGATTCCTGGGCATGCAGTACACAGAGATGGACAAATTGGCTGTCTCCACTGCTGGGGTTCATTTAGCCCAGGAGATCCTTCTGCCTTAATCTTCCTCAGTGCCAGCAGGATAAGATCTAAGAAGATCCTATACCCACAGCACTCTCATCTCCAGGGTTGCCAAGCTCAACATCATCTCAGCAGGCATCAGAAAATACATATTGGAAACATTTACCTACAACCCAAGTGGAAGCAACTTTGTCTCAATTTGAATTACTAGGATCAGGCTTCAAGCTCCAAACAGAAGGTCATAAAGGAACACTTTGCACAGTCCAGCTGGGTACCTTTTCATTCACATTAGGGTCAAAGTGGTGAGAACCTCCTACAGTGCTTCGTTAGAGGTAGGAAGCAGAAGAGCTATCCCTTTACCTCCTTATAAAGAACTGCTCACTGAAAAGGGGCAAGAGGAAATAAGACAAATTCAGTAACTCTACAGCCACATTCCAAATGTAGCTACTCCTCAAGCATCTGCTGGTTATAAAAAGTGCCACTTGAGGAAACCAAACAGTACAAAGAGGGACACAGTCTTTACCTTAAACTGGGACATGTCACGAGGAACACTCTCAAAAAATATGGCAGAGATCCCAAGGGACAGCCCCTGCTTTCTTTTGGCACCATGCACCATCCATCCATTTGTCAAAAGTTACTGCATGACAGCACATCAAATGCGCATCAGCTGCCCAACATCCTCTAACTGCCTGTCATACCCGTGCACTCGGGGGCAGGAATGACCCTGCACGCATCTGAAAGTGCCACAGCTAGGACAAAGCTCTTATCTCTGCTTTTGTGCTTTGGGCCCAACCTGTAATTCTTGTGCCATGGTCCCCCACTATTTCAGCCAGACCTCTCCTATTACTGCAGGGCCAAAAGCATACATAAAGGGTTTAAAACAAAAAGCAACAAAAAAATCCCACCCACAAAATCCAGAAACCACTGCCACCAAAATCTTTTTATTTTAGCTGAAGCTCAAGTCCAGACCATACAAGTACGTACAAGTGCAGGCTGATGAGGAAAAAATGGCACTCTTGCAGAGCACATTTTAACAGGTTCATTAACCTGCCAGTACAGGTCATCTATCCCAAAAGCAAATACCTCCAACACATCCTCTACCTCTCCTGATGTACCTTAGGGTTGGTTTGTTCCTTGGCATCTTGGCATGAGAAAACAGATCTACAGTCAGGCAGCTCCACAGCAACCAGGTTGAGAGGAGACAAGATCACTATGTTAACCACAATACAACCAAGATGCTACCTACCAAATATGCTGCTAGCAGAATTGCCTACTCTCCCACAGACAGAGGATGAAAATAATTTCCATAAAGCTACAGTAATAACAGACAGACAGCACTCTTGGTTTGCCCTCAAGAGTTCACTGTTACGTGTTGCTTGAAAACTCCTTTCTTGGTATATTTACCTGCTGTCGCATGTCACAACCCATAATCAGAGCAGAAACACTTTGAGAGAGAAGAGCAAAGCCTTCAACCAATACAAACCCAGCTTTCAGAAAGAACAGTGGAATCTCTTTTCACTCATTTAGACAGGGGCAGAATAACAATTTTAGGGGTCAGGAGGCGAATGGATGTTACAAAGTCCTACAGGAACGTAGCTCACAAAGGCACTTAATAGAAGCATGTACACAGCTGGATATAATCATAGATAGTAAAAATAAATAAATAAATAAATGCACCAGAGAGGAGAGTGCTGCCCAGTTACTGCCTAGACAATCTCTTTTAGCTGTATCCAAGGTTCAGTCTTCTGATTTCTCCAAAATGCCACACGTAGGTACAAACCCAGGGATTCCTTAACCTTAACTGCAGGAACCAGTGTACTCTCTGAAGCCCAGCAGCAGGTTCCTCCTGATGCCAGTATTCACATCTAAGGGAAACTCAAGTTCTCAAAATCTTATGCTCTTCGTGCTGTTTCCCATGGTGAAAAAGGCAGCAGGTTCCTCCTCTCCCCATCTGCACATATGGCTTACTGCTTTCTGCATCCTATTGCTGGCTGACAGCACGTGAAGAACCATTCCACATGCGAAAACATCTGGTGTTGTCAGTGAGGGGATAGCCCACACACTGACCACGAGGAAAGGTTGTGTGAGGAAGGAGTCCTGGTGGGAGGGGCTGCTCCCCTGTTAAACAGTCAGTGAGCCACAACGCCACCTGCAGAAAGAGGGCTGTCACACGATGTCCTCAGCAGAGCGCTGTGGAGGAGAAGACCCCAGGCTCAGGAAGTGACCCCAGTTGCACAGGAGTCCCCTGTTATACTGGCCAGTGTCTATCACTAACCCACCCAGCAGTCTGCGCCCAGTGTTGTCCCGCAGAGCCAGCCGAGCTTCCCTCTCAGTCACGTTGTAGCTGATGTTCAACAGCTGGATAACGAGGATGTATCCCATGCCAGCTGTTACAATGGCACAGTACCATACACAGGTGAACGACAGAGCAGAGCTGGCAGCAGGGAAGAAGATGGGAAGGAAGCCATTTAGTATTGTAGCAGCTGCTTTAAAGTGACTTTCCCTGGTAATCACTGTCCTTTCAAATCCCTGTCTACATCTGCCACAGTGATCTCACTTTGCTGCTTTCATCAGATAATCCTTAAAGCCTTTCTCAAAATTAAAGCTTCAGGGCTTACTTAATGAGAGCTTTTACTGCTACTAGAGCTACTCTTGCACATTGCTGTCACACAACCTAGCTCTTTACTCTTCCTGTTGTAATGGTGCTCGGGCTTTAAGGACCCCAGGATGTTCTCACTCTACAGGTCATGGAGCAGAGGAAGGAAGAGTTACTTGTGTACTAGCAGTACTCTGCCCATCTGTGGTAGTGCTGGTCTCTGAACTCGTGTCCAACAGCTCCCACCTCCTTCCCTACCACACAGGGCATATGTTCATAGGCAGGTAACTTGGAGGACAGTCACCAGATAAATAGTGAGGAATGAGAGAGAGAGAGAGCGCGCATGTGGATTCCAGGCTATCAGACCATTACCTGCATCAGGGGGCATACATATTTAAAAGTACATCTATACATAATAAGTACTTCAAATCCTGGCTCCTTCAACTTACTCCAAATAGTGAGCTCTCTTCAAATCTCAGGCTGCCCACCTTACTGAAAGCAGAGAAATGTCATTGCTTTACAGAGTTTTTTAGGGAGCACTTTGCGTTCAGGTCTGACAGCCAGCAGAATGAGGAGCTAAGCTGCCTGAGCAGCCTGCCCCCAACCCCAGCTCTCCCCCAGACAGACATCTCACCTGTAGTCAGAATAGGCCCCGGGGCAGTAGAGCAATGCCACAAATGGAGATTGGCCCCTACAGATGGTGTGCAGGGTCAAGGTAATCCCATACACAGAGGTGAGCATGAAGAAGAAGAGTGCAAGGATGAAAGCTTGATGGTTCTGCTCCCCTACGCAGCTGTTAATCCTCCAAAAGGAAAGAAGATATTACTTGGCTTAAAAAAATAAACCATCTTCTATTTCTTTTCCCTCCCCCAAGCTGTCACAGAACCTGATTTCCAAGGTGCTCCCAGTCAACACGGGCTAAGAACTTTAAAAAAACGTTTAAAGAAGCATTATAACTCTATACAGAAGAGTTACAAAGACAAGACAATAGACCTGTAGGGTAACAGCAGCAGACTGTTTGCCTCAAATCTTTAGCAAGGGTAGTATTCTTTGCTAAGACACATTATAACCTACTGCCCCTTGGTTCCAGCACCACATGCACACCCAAAAGGCAGCTTTGGGTACCCTTGCCCCAGGAGAGCACTAATGCAACTTAACTGCATGATTGATAGTGTTCCACAGACCAAGTCTAAAGAGAGAAAAACAAATCCAAGAAAACCCACATCAAAAACAACCCCAAACTGATGAAAAACAGAGAAGTAAAGGCAATTCTGAAGTATGCTGTAGAAGCTTTCAGCTATCAGGTCAACCCACTTCGAAATAAACAGTTAGAATAACTGTTCTTTTGAGGAGTAAATACAAAGCTTTCTGTATTTAAAGGGTATCGTAAGGTCTTGCACTTAGCAAAAACAACTCTAATTGCCAGAGACTGTAAAAAAAAAGAAGCTTACTTTAAAAAGGAGGGAACTCAGAAAACACAGGGAGCCTCAGCAGTGCAAAACCTACCAGACACAGTGATGGTCCAGTCTCCTCACACACCTGCCACAAAGCCGGCAGTGCCCTGCTCGGGCTGGCCTGACCAGCTGGCATTTAGTGCACCAGTCCTTTTTCACATCTTCTGGCTGCTCAGCTGACATCCTGCAATAACCTTTAGCCTCCCCATTCACAGCACGACTGCTGCCAGCACCTGAGATGCCATGAAGCCCGCTGGAGCTCCCTCTAACACTCTTGTTTGGCAAACCCTGGTGCGATGGCTTCTCATTGCCTGCTGGGATGGGAAGGTAGCCAGGGTCCTTCTTGGCTCTAGACAGGGCTGCAAGCATAAGAATTAACCCGCATGTGAGAGCGACCACTTGGGAATACTCCACGTGGCCCCGGGGAACCACCTCCCACAGAAACACGTAGTACATATATCCCAAGGAGAAGAGCCCCAGGCTCAAGAAGAAGAGAGTCCGTTCCTTCCTCCGGTGGGTGAGGTAGTAATACCACAGCACCACGACGGGCAGGGACGTCAGGATGACGAGCCCCAGCAGGAAGTGCAGGGAGGCAACGTGGAGGAAGACGGGCAGCAAGACGAGCGGCGGCACGAGGCTGATGTTGAACTTCACGGCCCCCGAGAACCAGGGGACGCGCAGCCGGTCCGTGATGGTGTCGGCGATACTCTCCAGCGCTCCCGGGGGCAGGGATTTGCACGTCAGCCACCTGCGAGCGGGGGGAGCACAGCGCCGGCTGGCACCGGGGCAGCCGCGCTCCCGCCCCCTGGCCCCTGCCCCGTCCCGCTCCTGCCGCCTCCCCCTTTCCCTCTCTCCCGACAAGTTTCCCGGGAAGCGGGGTGCGGCTCCCCCACCCTCAGGGCGGCAACCCCGCGGGGCAGCCGCCGCCAGGAGAGTGTCCCGCAGCCGGGAGGCCCCCAGGGGGTCGCGGAGCCGGTACCTGTCGCAGCCGTCGTCCAGCTCCTCGCAGTCGCAGCAACAAGCCGCCAGGTGGTTGCGCCGGCCGCGCCGGTCCACGTACTCGCAGCAGCAGAGCGGCTCCTCCATCGCCGCCGGCGGCCCCGTCCCTCCTGCGGGGCCGGGAGCAGCTCCCGCCGCCGGCGCCGCCTCAGGTACCCCGCGCGCGCCACCGCCCCCGCCCCGCGGCCCCGCCCCCGCCGCAGCGCCCGCCCGCCATTGGCCACGCGCGCCCCGAGGTGTACGGGGGGCGGAGCCCCCGCCCAGACCGTCCACCTGACGGCGGCGCGCGCCAATGGGCGCGCGGGGGGCGGCGCCGCCGTCACGCGGGGGCACCTGCCTTAAAGTGGCAGTGCAACAGGTGGCGGCCCGGACCCCCCGGTGCTCCCCCCGCACGCCTCTAACCTGACCCTGCACCCCCTCCCGAGCCCACAGCCCGCGTTTGCACCACTGCCTGACGGGCGGAGCACCGCCCAGCCTCGAGGGTGGGGGGCCTTGCGTTTGCTTGCAATTTCCTTCTGTATTCATCTTCTGTCCCTCAACCTGCTTAGAAAACGCTTGAAGCACAGGAAAAGGTGTTTGATCATTAGCGGGCACACCATGCTGAAGCATGGCCCTTGATGGAGGGAAAACACCGAAGGCTGAAATTTCTCTGCTAGAGCTGGAAACATATGGCAAAAGGCAGACTGCCAAAGCTTGCAGTATGCAAGAGATATCAAACCCTTTCCCTGTTAATTAATCTTAGGCATATTCTTCCTTAAGATGGTGACTTGTTTCACAAGGTTCCCAAAGCTAAAAAAAGCCTATGAAGATCCTGTGGCTGTGAATCCACTACGTTCTTTTTTCTCCAAAACTCTCTTCACTGACAGTCATTTTCTACGTTGACACAAAAAGCTGCAATTTCATAAGAGGTAAGCCCAGTTCTCTGCTGAGGGTGTTTTTCCTCTCTCTGAAATGTTCAGATCCGTTCACTAGAAGAACAACTGTCCTTGCTCACTCACCATGGGATGGATCCAAGAGCTCTGCGCTGTTTGGAATTGAGACTCCCCAGAGTAGAAGGCTAGCAGGAGAGACAAGACTGCCAAGCTATGGCAATGCAGAAACCGACTTATTCTTCCACAAACCTTTATTCTGTGCAGCTTTTGAGCTAAACAGTAAAGAATCCAGAGGAGACAGTTACAATCCCTACCCCACAAGTCCTCACACACACATCTGCTCTTCCAATGTCTTGAATGAAAAGCTGATGTGGCTATTAACTCTCAGTTTTGCTGCTCTGTGTCCTGTTCAAGTGGTCAAAGCTTCTTTGGAGCATGGAAAGGGAAATCTTGAGCTGTGAAGACACAATCATCCCCCCCACCAATTACTTAAGTCAGTCTCCTGCATGGGTGAGTGATATCAGGAAAATAAAGTCTCCCTCCTCTTTTTCTTTTAAAGATTTCATGTGATTTCCTCCTCCCTGTTTCCATAAACAGTTGGCTTACTGTGCCTCTCCTAACAGCTACACTCTGTAGAGTTTATAAATACTAACAGTCGAGGATGATAATGTCTTAACACCTCACCAGACAATACCACAGAAGACAAACCACCCCACTCATTTTTAGTCACAGATAATGTTCAGTGCAAATACTTCAAGGAACATGGCAGAACAACTTGAATTTTCTTTTAGTACCTGGCCCTCCTAGTGCATTTTGGTGCCTAAAACATGTTTAGATTACTGACAACACTCAGAAAACACAAGGTAGCAAGCACTAAGATGCGTCAGGACTTCCAGACTAAAAATGTTATTCTGGATAAAAAGGTGGCTAAATTCTCGCTTTTCTTTTTTACACTGTGTTCAAAAAGCACTTAACACTTCACAATTAGGAACTGTAGATAGTAAGCAGAGAAAATAAAAAGGGTATGGAAAACAAATCTCTAAAGTGAAAGTTCCAGCACTCAGGCTTTTTCAAGTTACAATCAAAGTTGTTAATTAATAGACTAATAGCAGTTGTGCATGCAGAAACACCTCTAAACAAGGAGTATAAAAAATGGCTTCTTTTTCTAACCTCCTTTAGTGCATAGAAGAACAAAGAGCAAACGACGGAGTAAGGTACATGTGAACTCCCCCTTCAGCTTTCCTAAACTAATAATTTATTCCATTGCATTTTAAGATTTAATGAACAACCAGAACATTCCTGAGTAGTAAGTAAAAAATAAAGCATGAATTTACAGTCCTTCAGTTACTGAGTTGAAATTTCAGCCTAGGGATTGTAAGGATTTAACAGTCATGGACTTCAGGATCAGAGAGACACAACACTATTCAACTTTTTGTGTGTGTGTCTGTAATATACAAGAGCCTGAAATTTTAAGTTATTGTGAAGAAGGATTATCTTCTGTGGAGCCTTCAGAAACATATGGTCTGCAGAGATTTTTTTCTACTGGAGATTAGGTAGCCCCCTTGATACCAATGCTACGTGAAGCTCTTACCAATATCTAGAAGAGTAGTGGGGAGCAAATGCCAGGATAAACCTGAATGAAGAAACCTCATAATAAGATGGTAAAACACTTCACAAATCTGAGTGTTCTTAGAAAAGGGAATCTGTTTTGAAATACTCCAGTCTTTGCTTTGTCATGATTCAGAACCGCATTAACACATCTCTTAAGCACTTGACAAGTGCTTAAGAAAATTAACATGGGTACTAACTTAGTCAAATAAAATAAAACTATATCAACCAAAAAAAAAAAGAAAAACAAAACATCCCAAACAAAGAAACAAACCCCAAACAAAACCAACCAACCAAAACCCCAATCCTCCAAGAAACAAATTCAAAAATCAAAGCAACCAAAAATACCAGAAACATAAATAGTACCCATTAACTAAATTCAAGCCTAGGGCAAAACAGATTAAGAAAACTTTATCTAGCACCAGACCACATCAAACAAAAGCTATGATAACACAAGGGAGAAACCCTGAGTTGTTGAGAAACAAGAATATCACCAGGAAGGATTTTCAGACCTACCTGCTCAAGCATTTCAATTGAGTCTCTTAAAACTCCCTTCACATGTTTAACCTGTTCCTTATCATATTGAGGTATCTCCTCTTTTGATACAATTTCTGGGGATATGCTGAAAAAGATTGAGATTACATCAGAAACATGAAACAAGAACCTCAATGGCTTTTTAAAAGCAACTGTTCTCTGCCACCATTGCTCTGCCATTGCTAAAAGCATCCTCTTACAAAAGCCACATAAAAAGCTGCCTGAAGTTGAATTCCAGTCCTTGTTTTCTTGAAGCTAGTACCTCAGATCTTCACAGGCAACAGCCACCAAGAAAAAACTGTGCTCACATTACATTTACGACATAAGATCCACACTTCAAGGAGCAAGATCTTTCTTATGAAGAAAGTTGCTCTAACCAGTTCTGAGATGGTCACTATAGGAGGTCCCCACACTCCTTCCAGACTCAACATCATCAGGATATGGTTTTTAACTTTTTTGTTGATACTGTATTCAAGAGGAAGCAACATCTTTCTGTGTCTGAGTACAAAAGGCATCTAACATGGAAGTTTGCGAAGGAGAGGAGATTTAGTAGGAGACTCACAGAGAGAAGCTAAAAAGCTAAATGAGTCTTTAACATTCCATTTGAGAACATGCTGGTTCACACAGGATGAACACTTCAGTTCTGTGATCAGCACTATGATATTCACAGAAGATGAGTCACAGCAGGCTGATAAATGCAAACTAAGGTTAACATTTCTCCCAAAACAGCTTGTCAAAAGAAAAATTTATTACTGCAAGATGCAGTCAGACATGCCACTGGATTTTAGCATAGACCACAGAAGTACAGCAAGCCCCAGCCACTTCTGAAAACTTGCCACTGAATTTCATTATTTATAATTTATTTCTTTAGATCAGATTCACACATAAGCTGAAGAAGAAAGCAAGCAAAGATTGTGAATTCAACTTACTTCAAAGAGCTTTCCTCCTGAAGCTGGACATGATAAAGGGACTGAGCTGCATGTTCTATCTTTGATAGTTTGAGGAACAGTGTTATATTCAGCAAGACCAAGAGCAGCAAACTGTAGAGACAAGAACAAAAATCATGTTTTATAACAATTTCAGTTGCAATGCTACAAACACAAGATCATGGCTAAAGACAGCTACGGAAACAGAATCCTCCCAGAATCCTGGGAGAAAAAAAGGTGTGGGGCAGCACTGTACTGAAAATTAATATCTATCTGAACAATTCTTAGCAGTTACCATTAAGCCAGGTAATAGCAAACAGAAATAACAACAGTATCTCTTTTTGGAACTTTTAAAATTAGGAATTAGTAGATTCTAGACTTTATTTTTTAAATAGGATCAGACCTAAGAAAACCTGCAAGGTAGACTCGCTTGACAAGTCAGTTTTTCAGCTTGCATGTCATTTCCAAGTCAATCCATTTCCCTTTTATATCTACATGCTCCACTCAAATTACTTTATCATACTACATGCAATCTTAACATGCAAATGAGGAACAAATACAGATAAAAACCAAGATGAGCTTGAGTCAAGCAACATTTTAATACAAGTGAGTACTTACAAGACACTCATTACTACAATGATGGCAGTGGTCCTACTTACTGCATCTCTTTTCCTTCCTATAAGGCATGGAAAAGGAGGTTAAAAAGTACTAAAGAACATTCCTAAAGGATGACTGCAGATATATATATGTCAATGCCCAGCACTTCACACAGAATAGTGCAACTTCTGATGGGGAAAAAAAAATAAAAAAAAATCACATCATGTAGGTGCACAGGATCACCTCCAACATTCACCAGGGTATTTTTGCAGTCATCCCTAAGAAGCTGGCTGAACAGTCAGGCTCTTCCACCAGAATTCCCCCTACCACTGTGCTGGGGAGAACACAGTGCTGGGGCATGGTCACATTAAACCTGAGAAAGTTGCAGTCCATCCATTACTACTAACATGCACATGTGCTGTTAGTCACACACAGCAGAGATAGGCTGCAAAGTGGCTCTCTCCTGCTTGTTAAAACTCCTTCTCACAACCTGTGTCAGTCACATTTTCCTCTAACTTGTCCCATCCTTACTGACTTGGTTTATCTGCTATCCTGAAAACAACCTTTTGAGACACCATCTGCTATTCATCGGGCAACAAGGATCCGACAATGAGGGATAGAGTGTGCAAGTTCTCTCCAAACTGAGCACCTATCACTGTGAATACACTGATCTTGAAATATAATTAATTTTGCACATCCTGCCCTGGACAAGAGACATACATAAAAGCTGTAGTGTACACTGAGAGATATACTCATCTGAAGAGGGGGAGCAACAGTAGGAAAATTAAGTAATTAGGAAGCAATTTCACATGGATAAAGAGTCCTTTACACATGCTGCTGATGCAAATATTCTCTCACTTTAGGGAAGTGTACTTGGTCCTACCTCACTGTTTACAATTCAGCTTCTGTCATTGAATCCACTATTCCCTGGTGCAAACTAGTGCACAGATGTTCCTAATCTCTCTAGGTGAAGCTAATATTGTATATGCTGGTGGTCAAGTTTGTCATGCCTAAGGGCAGTAGAACTGCAAGAAATGCTTCAGAGACCCAGAAATTACAGGAGCATATGGGAAACACACTTCTTAACATTAAAAATAATCAAAGCTGAGATGACAGAGCCAAGAAGCAAGTGGCAAAGTTCAGTCAACTCATGATCTGTGTGCACAGTTATTTGGAGAAAAAGTAATTTTTCAGAAACTTTAAGAATCAGGTTTTTTTTTTTTTTCCTGATCCAACTCATTTTCAATCCTTTGCAGATACAGAGCAGTATTTAAGATTTTGGTTGATTTTTGTTTGTTTTAAAACTGAAGGTGATATTAGGCTTAACTTCATGAGATACTCATGATAAAAGTGATCATGCATGCTCCAAATCTACTTTATGCAAGCTTGAAGACGCTTGAACTTGTTAAAGCATTTGCTATCACAGACAAGAGTAATATATACACAACTGCTACTCTTGCACTATTTTAAGAGTTATGCTTTCTTGAACATATCTTTTGGAAAACATTTGATATAAAAAATTCCTACCTATTAAGCTGCCCTGAGACTCTACTCCCATGTCACCAGAAGAATGTTGGGAAGAACGTTTGGGAAGTGATTCCGCCAAACCTCGGTGTAAAGTGCGTCGCCTTCGTCTCAGAGCAAGTAATTTCCCAGAGTCTTCTATGGATTGATTAATTGCATATTCCTCCATTAGGAGATCTGATTCTGCAGTGGAAAAAAACCAAGGTTACTGAACTGTCAAAAAGAAAGCTGGAAAGCTGAAAACAAATTGTGAGATATGCAAAGTGGCAGTGAGTGGAACCAGCACACCTTCCAGTACATGAACTTAAAGCAGGTAATTGGCAATCTACACCCTGACCTCCACTCCTGTTCTATTCTAGAGGGCACACTTGGAATGCTCTGAAGAGGTGGTACCCACTCAGTCCAGGCAGGATTGTTCAATGCTATGCCAGACAGCAATTGGAAGAGCACTGCAAGACACTGTTAGACTGTGAGCCTGCAGCAGTGGCTGGCCAGGGTGTGAATAGACATTCATGGAGCCTGCCAAGTGCCACTGTTTCTATTCTTACATGCACAATCAAGGAAATTCTTAGAGATAAGCACATGCAGTTGAGAATAACAGCTTTCCTACTGCTCCTCATGCTTCCTTCTGAAAGCAGTTATGGCCAGGAAAACAACAGCCCCTTGTTAGCTGCAAAGCTTCTTTCATACCCGGGAACTGGCAGATACATTGATGACAGGAAGTTCTGTCTTCAAGATTGCTTAGGTGTTGGCCTTTTCTTCAAGCCATTCTTTGAGGAGCCAGGTTTGACAGACACAAAAACATAGCAAATATACAAAAACAAATAGCAAAGGTAGCCTCCTTACTCCAGCACAAGGTAGAAAAAGCCTCACCAAGTTGTTTGAAGTTTTCTTGTATTCCTCCCCAGGTATTCTTCTCGATTACAGACTTGACAAGGCCCCAAGGCTGTTTTTTGTACTTCACTTCTGCAGAAACCCTAGCAAACAGAATGCAATAATGGAAGAGTGCTCTTCTATACAGCACAGTGATAGCAGAAATCTCTTATCAGAAGCAGGCCTCCAGCTTATGTCTAAAATCTGAAATACCAACTGGAACTGCTGTCACTCTCCAGCTGGGCAGAATTTTCATTCAAAAAATGCAAGAGACTAGCAAAGACAATGTCTCTAGCTAAAGCATCAAAATCCAAATGTCCAAATTATGGGAAATATTTTGGAATGTTTTCCTTCAGACTCAGACTACCAGATGATTTTTACCCTCTGAATCATTCTCATTTTAACACAAATTTAAAATAGGATTCAGGCTTCTGGACAATAAAGTCATGATTTTTACTTTGTACGAATACACATGATATATTACATGGGCACTACAATAGCAGAAGGTGAATTTTTTTATCATAACTCATACATCAAGTGCTCACATCCTACCCTGAGTAGACAGAAATTATAATCTGTCTTTCTGCGAGCATGACAAGAGAGGAAAATTACATTCCTACCATTAATTTCTTAGGTCAAGCTAATCAATACTGCTTCCAGAATAAAAATGAATTGGACTAGAATCCTTCAGAGGGATGCTTCTAATAACTGAGTGAATCCCAAAGCTATTTATAAAGGACGAGTCCTTGATTTCAGCCAAGAACACTGACCATCCTAGAATACACTCTTGTCAACTTTTTAAGTAATCTTCCAAATCAATGTAAGCCCACTGTGTATGGTATAACAAAACAACTCCTTTCAAATAGAGTTTGAGCCATTTTAAGCACAGTTTAGTAAGGCCAGCTGTAACATCACCATATGCCTTCTGTTCTATACATGTATGTGCTGTACACCATGTATACCTAGGTTGTTGCTCGATAAGAGGGCTGTCATACGTCTCATAAAACAAGACTAGGTCTCAAGTAAGAACACTGATTCACTCAAAAAAATATCCAAAGCAGTCTTTCAAGGACCTTACTCCCCTTCTTCTCCCAGTAGAGAGGGAGTTTTCAGTAGTTTTACAGCCTGAGATTAGGCAAAATAGAATCCAGGCTTGCTAACCTTTCCTGAGTACTGATTAAGTTTGAGATAAAAGCTCTTACTAAAGACAGCAGCACTTCCAATGTTTTCAACAAATGGGAGAGGAAATTCCATATCTAGACAGAGTTCACTTTAGTGCCCTCCTTGCAAAATTAAGTACATTTTATCTTCCCTGCACATTCCTGTGAAACCATTCTCCTCTGCAGGCCCTTTGCAAGGATGTCTGGGAAACCTTCTAATAAAACATCTCAATTTTTTCCAATTTCTCTCACTCACACAGCTTCATTCAAAAACACAAGGCTAGTCAGGACCCAGTTCAGTCTTGTAGATGAGTTCTGTACCTCAGAGTCCACATCTCAGTTAATTTCTAACTGCATTAATGAGATCCAAGTACAGCATACATGTGGCAAGAAATGAACTAAGCTTATTTTTCAGAAGAGACCCCAACATTCTCTGTGCTGCTAGCAGATCTTTAACCTAATCATCAACTCAGAACATCCCTCCCTTGGCTTCTGCCCTCCCCCCGTGCAGCAGCCAGCTCACCGTAACCGGCACTTGTGACTGGATGTGCGGCTGATGCAGTATCTGTTCACAGTGTAGAAATAATCATGGTAGGGGACGTCGTGGGTCAGGACCTCAGCATCCACCTGGTAAGACTGACCTTTCTGGCTCTGCTTATGCAGGATCTATCATAAAAGAAAATAAAACTAAGAAGGTACATTCATGGTACACAAATTTCCCCTGCCCCCTTTCAGCCTGAGTTCCTTAGACTGGATCAACCAACTCCAAGTGAACTCAAGGAGAGAGAAAGCCTGAAGAACCACTGTAAAAACCAGTTAAGAGAATATCAATTATAGGTGGGGTGGGAGAAGAGAACATGCCTCCTACTAGAGCCAACATCGGCAGCAGCAGCAGGACTTCCCACTGCTGCCTCCAGTACCAGATGCAAAGCTGGCCACTGTGACCACAGTTCTCTGAGACCTTTCCCAAAGCAGAACTACAAAAGGGTTGAGATTAGAAGGCACCTCTGGGTGCTTGTCTTGTCCAAAATCTCAAGCAGGACTATCCAGAGCTGGTTGCCCAGGACCATGTCTAGGTGGCTTTCCAATACCTCCAAGGAAGAAGGTACCACACCTCTAGGGACAACCTGCTCCACTGCTCAGTCACCCTCACAGTGAAAACATGTTTCCTGATGTTCAGAAAGAATCATCTGTGTTTCAGTTTGTGTCCATCACCTCTGGTCCTGTCACTGGACACCACTGAAATCTGTGGCCTTTGATGGTGAGGGCCTGACTCAGAATTTTCTGCACCCTCCCTTCAGATACTTCTATTAAGTATAGACTGATGCCCCTGAACCTTCTCTTCTCTGGGTTGAAGATTTCCCACTCTCAGCCATTTCTCACATGGGATGCTTCAGTCCCTTTATCATCTTAGTGGCCCTTTGTTAGGCTCTTCACCTCTCATACTGGGAAGCCCAGAAATGGACACTGAACTGTGCCTTTTCACCCCCCAGTTCCTAAGAGATGTTTATACTTTTTCCTACAGATTTCGTGGGGGTTTACAGCCATTTGTAAAGGTAGGAAGCCTCTTATTTAATAAGCATTGGCTCAGTAATGGTGAGAGAGACTGCAAGTCAACCTCAGATGCTCTGTTTAAACTGCAGATGCACATTTAGTTCACTGAACTTTCATCCATAGTCAGAACTCTGACAGACATAGAGCTGACCTGTCTCTTGCTTTAAAGGGCACCAGACAGACACAGAAATGCACACAGTACCTGCTTTTCAGTTGCAGTTGTGAACTTCCCACAGAGTGGATTGTTAATTGTTACAGTGTATGTCAAAGTCCTCAACTGATTGCCATTGGAGTCTCTATTCCAAGGGGTTGATACAGCATCTAGATGAGAAGTTATGCAAAATCTCACATAAAAATTACCTGAAGGGCATTATCTCTGCCCTATCATGTCTTAAGAGTTTGAGAACAGGAGTAGGGGGAAAGACAGAAAACTGATTCATAAGTTGTGGGGCTTTTCCATGAAAAACCTTATCCATGTAGTCTGCTAATAAACAAAGGTGAGGCTCTGAATAGCTGAGCCTGAATCTACTGAAAGGGACTTGAGGGTAGAGGAAAGAATAAGCAATTATATGAAAATGACATTTCCCATTTGCTTAAAGTGGAATAGATTCACTTAGCATTATCAAAAGTTTTTGACACTTTGCCTTCCAAGCTGACACTGAATAAATATAACCCTTTTTGACTTTTCTGTTCTTATGGTCTCAGTGAATAAAATTTACTCATCCAGAAAATTAAAGCCTGTGAGTACATTTAGGAGGATGCAATGATTTTTGCCTGTGTACCAGCCATACAAATTTCATTTATTTCTGGGACACAGTATAACCAGAAACACCCCATAGAATGCATCAACTTAATAATCTACTCAAAATTCAGGCATTAAGGTGCAGTTTTGTGGTGCACTGAAACGAGGTTTTTACACCAAAATGAACATACCTAGGGAAACAATAGTCTAACTTGAAATATCCTCTCTCACAGCGAAACTTTAAAGCTTAAAAATTCTTTCAAAGCAAGCAGAAACTTAAAATTCAACTTATCCCTATTTAGCAATTCTCAGAGGTAAAAGTTTTCAGGGTAGCTTGTAACAGAGAGAAGGGAGAAGAGTTTATTACCTACTATACTCCTGGAATTAAGAAACCTCTGCATGAAATGAGAATTGGTGAAAAGGATTTCAAACATCTTGTCTGCAGTGATGTGGAAAACTCTGTTTATAAAAAGTCTCCCATAAAGATCATTGTCAGAGACAGTCTCCTTCACTGCTAAGAAAGACAGAGAGATCAGGTTAAGAACAGTATTACTAAGAACCTTTATAGCATTCTAAGCTTTATTACAGCTTAAATTCTTCCCAAGCTCGCATTTGTTTCTTGCTCTCAGAAACACAGTGAGCATAACAGCAAATCATTTGGTAGGTAGGTTGCTTTCAGGAACAAAGTCCAGAGCTGATTTTCAAATACACACCACTACCACCACTTCCCTGTGCAAACTGATAAATTAACAGCACAAAGTACCATCCCTTCAATTTTGCCTTCAGTATTCTACTAATCCTTCAAGAAACACTGGGGAAAGACAAAGTTAGCGTCATTTTCATTAATATGTGTATCTATCGTATAAAAGACAAGCAAGAAGGACAGTAAAACTATAACAGTTTTCTTCTTGTGGCTGGTTTCAGAATTCCGCTTTTAACATCTGTAATATTGGTAATGTCCACAATCTAAGGCACCAGGCAGACTCCCAAACAGTTATTCCCTCCATACCTATTGAACAGGAACACAAGGGATACCCTGCTCCATTTCACATTCCCCAAAAATGCACAAAGAGGCTCAAATGCCATCATGTATTTCAAAGCCATTTAGCACCCCAGTGGCATTCTGTAGCTGCAGCACTGATCTTTGCTGCTTCTGCTGCTTGGTGGTTGCTGGCATGACTCAGCTTTGCGATTATCTCAGCCACACTTGCAAGAGATAAAGGATAGAATTATAATCCTGGGGAGCAAGCAGTTTCCTGTGCCATTCCCAACTCAATCTGTTTATGCTTTAGAAACAAAGTCAATCCTAAACTATAATTACCAGCAAGACAAACAAGCCCTTCCCCTCATCACTAAAATGAAACAAGAAGCCCAAAAGCAAATCTTGCAGCAGACAGACACAAGTCAGGATGGCCAACCTTTCAACTGATACAAATGAATGCTCAGGGCTAGAAAAGGTAAGTGGCAGCCACAAATGCAAAGGTAGTCTGAATATCACGCTGTAGTTCACAAGCTGCCTGCAGGCTAAGGTTAAAGCACTGAAAACATTACTGGCTTGGTAGCAGTCAGTATTGATAAGGCAAATGCACCAAGTGAACAACCACAGCAGTCCCCAACAAAATCCAGTTCTGACAGAGCAGACTTCCTCTCAAGTGCTGCTTCTAGCCTGCTAGAACATCTGCCTCCAAAAAAAGCTCTCCTTGATCTCATCAGGCTTCAAAGTAAGACCCCAAAAATGAAGCGTGAGTGCCGTATTTTTGTGCTTACACTAGAGATTGACTTCTTCTCCGCGCCATGTTCTGCTTATGCAATTCTAATTCCACACAATTATGAGATGGGACAGAAAGCAAACACACATTTCAAGAGGCCTATTTAACCAGTCAATATGCAGTCAATACATGTAGAATACGAATTCTGCTGTGCTGAAACATTCTGCAGGAAGCCAGAAATTCAGCCTGAGTTTTCAGCTTATGTTGACTGTATTTCCTCTCTCAGCTGAATCTAACTCCAACAAAAGGCAGGCCAAGCGACCTGTAAGTTTGACTTCATTTAACAGGACCTCAGCATTACAGATCTCTCAGAGTGCACTCCCCACATCCTCTTTTGCTAAGAGACAGGAAGCTTCACATACTGATGCTGGTATCCCATCCACCTACTGTGCATCAGCTAGCACGGCATCAGATACCAGGCAATTCAAACCTAGTTACTGTGGTTGAGTGTTACTCAGCTGGACCTTGACATGCTCAAGGAACATGCTACCACTTAAAAAAAAAAAAAATAAAGATCCAGACATATGATCAAGCCACCAGATAAGCATCAGACCAGCCTTGTCAGCTATTTGTATATGTCTTAGCAAACACAAGATAACCTCTGCCCCAGTAAGCCTTAGCTAAACAACTCAACATCACATTCACGTGAAACACCTGAGGACAGCTACTACTTTTCTGCTGATGCAAGGTAATTTGGTAAGCCAGGGCAACCTGTGACATGCACAAAGCCCATGCTTTATTACCTTAAGGTGCAGATCTTGCTACCAAGCTCTATTACTCTGAGTCTGTGCTCTTTCTAGTGAGTCTGAAGAAAGAGCACCCACAGGTCTAAACAAAACTTACCATAAATTAATTTACCTACACTATCTCTGTATGGTCATGTCTCTAATAAGGAATAGTCAATGAAGTGCCAAGTGCATAATTGAGGAATATGTTTTTTACCTACAATTCTTCCCAGCTCTTGGAAGAAACAAAAGGTTTTTTAAAACATTGTTAGCACATACAGCAGTAATTATCAGAAAATCCAAGCTAAACCTGGGTTTACATATCAGGCCCATCAGCTACTTTAGATGCTAGGATTCAAACAGCTGCTCTCCAGAAAAACTAAACATTTTTGACAATGGGTCTGGAAGGTGCATGCATATTTAAGTGCTGCTGTGAGTTCCACAACTGTGGAACCAAGCAGCAGGATACACCAAGAGCTTGACAAGCTTCAAGTCACTTCCATCTGGCCTCAAATATTTATCTGCAGAAATCCAAAATTAATTTGCAGATGAAGCAGTGAGCACAAACAGTAGCATAGGAATGAATAAGTGTATACTTTATACACTTGCAATTCAAACAGAAAGGCATCTTAAACCATGTATCTCTGCTACAAGTAAAGATGCACGTTTGTCTACTGTTTCATTTAACTCACACATGTAAACTTGTATCTGCCTTTGTTTTTCACAACAGTAGGGCAACAGGAAGCATTTTACCCAAGACTGGCTCAGAATGCTCTTTATCAACAAAATGCTTTGTGCAAATCCAGAGATATCAATCTAACTCCTTCTCTTTCAGTACTCTTAACTCTTCAGCAGCATACAATTATCAACACTAACTCTCTTAACCTGAATACACTTCTAGATGAATTGGAGCTGTCTGCTGAAAGAACAGGAGATTATTCTGACTTTAGGTAAGGATCCCATGGGACCAAAAAACACAGAAGTAAACACATTACCCGGAGTGTCCTGGTTCAGCCTAACAAGAGCAGGTCTCTTCCCTCCCCCACTACTGCCTTACACTTCATAAGGTCATTTTCATCACTGCAAGGCAAGCTATGAAATAATGTTTGAATGTAATACCATTATGCAGCAGGGATGGCAGAGGTTTAAAGACATCTGCAGTGCAAAAAAAGACAGGAAATGGGGGGAAGGGGTAGTAAGAAAAACATTGTTATTAAAATTCCAATCAACCACCAATAGCAAAAAGCTAAACACATACCACAAGCAAATTAGTAAGAAGGTTGATTTTTCCACTCCACAGCATTGGGGGAGGATCAGGATTTTTAAAAAGTACATATGCTAATCTTGGAACTGTTGAACATTTCTATACCGCTGGGGACAGTGAAAAATTACATGCTGCATGAAAGATCTGTAGGTAGAAGCTTTTAACCAAAACCACCTGAAATCAAGTGAATAAAACCAATTCCTAGAAGTGAACATGTTCCATACATCATCTATTTAAAGACTGTATCAGCAGCAGTAACCATTTTCAGAGAACTCTCCTATATTTTAAAGACTAAGTACAAAATTATCTTGGGAAGCTACTAAGTAAGCACTGTCCCAATGCTAGCTTTTTCCATTTCACAGGATAAAAAATCCCCACAACCTTTTGCCTTCAGGTGACTCAAACACATATCCTCCAAACACCAAAGTAAATAATTTTTTCAACAAAATATATCCTTTCAGTATTTTGATTAAAATGCCAATAAGATAACATGGCTACTCTTCCTTACATACACTGCATATACAAAATTTTTTATGGGGGGGAGGGGGACAACTAATACAGGGCTGAAACTAAATGCAACTATCTTATATTTCAAACACTGTATGCCCTATATACCACTATCTGCAAGCAGTCAAGCCTCTGCTGTGCCCATCTTACAGCACCACGGTGCTGCTCTCCTGCAGATCGCATATTTAAGGTGGTTATTAGTACACACAGAAACAATACATAAGTAAATGTCATGTTAAACAAGAACAGAAATGTGTGATCTCCCTGTATACAGTAGAGACTTCTAGCAGAAAATACTTCCCCCTTCTTTCTTTGAAGTATTTAATGTTGCTGAACACAGTCATTGAAAACAAACTACCCTATATACTAGAGTCCTTGAGGAAATTAAAAAGATCTCTTGGCCTTGTGTTGGAAACATGTATTCTATGCTTGAACTGAAATCTATTTTCTGAAATTCAGAATTATAGCCATAGATATTAAAGTTTAGCTTAGCCAAAACTTTGTCATGGCTCAGGATTTATACTCTGATTTATGAAACTGGACAAAAATACCAAGATGCACATCAATATGCCAGTGGTGCACAGTGGGATGCAGACCCCCATCCCCAAGGTGTGAACTGCTTAGGACAAGGGAATTAAGGTTGTGGAGAACAACAGTCTTGACCTTGCCCCTCACCTTATTTGCCAGGACACCTCCATGGGCAGCCTGAGTATGAGCCAGAGGACACAAGAGAAATTAATCGTATGGGTAAACCTTTGCCATGTAGGAAAGCTAGTTTCGTTTGCGTGAAGAAATTCACCTTGAAAGAGTGTGGGGTAACTGCAACAGAAAACAGACAGAGAAACAGAAGAAAAAAATTCTAAGCATGAAGATTCTGAGAGACAAGATTAATGTTGTGAGTCTAGAAAATCCTGCTCTGAATAAAAAAAGACTAGTTTTGGGGAACAGAAGAGAAATAAGAAAAGCAGTATGAAGTCAGTGTTTTTTTTATTAAAGAGACATCTTCCGTTTAATATGTTCTATTTATTCAACATCACTAATGCAGGCAGGGAATATTTACCTGCTATTGTTTAGGCAACTAGCAGCAGGAAAGACAACAGGACTGCTTTTCAATCAGTTTCCCTGGTGACCTTTGCCATAAAAAATAAAATCCAGAGACTGAAGAGAAATGTAGTAATAGAAGATAGGAAAGCCGCAAAATAGCTAAAATATGCAGTGGCCAAAACTTTCTATTGCTCTAAAAGATACACCTGTGAAAGAGTAAATTAATTTGTGAAGCTTGTTAAGTGTGTAGGAATATGGCATAAACAGTCTGTTCAAGTAGGCATATTTACAAAAAGGATAATGCCTGACATGCATTGAGTTGAATCTGAACTCAAGCCAACACAGAAGCAGTATAGGTGAGCAACAGCAAAGTTAATGAATATAAGCATGTCCCCAGGGAAAACTCACAACTTGAAGGCAGCCAACTCAATCCACAGCTCTGAAAGCTTTCCTGGACACCTCAACAATCCCCCCATAACGACACCTGCAAACAACTTCAGCTGTCAACTCTGAAATGGCAAGACAAAATTTCTCAGTGAGATTAAGAACTGGCCTCAAGTAACTAATTGAGGTCAATTCTTAATCTGAGAAATTATTAACTAACAATTAACTGTTCTATTCCTGCCAGCAAGGGATGAAGTATGTTCTGTTTGCACATGAAAGAAATATACAGCTCCTACTGAGCACAGTACTACTGTTTGGGTTGACTGTCCTTTATTTGCTTACCACAATATAACCTTGGAACTAATACAGGTTGGGCACACTTTGCTTGAAAGGCATTTACAGAATCCAAGATTCAGATACTACAGAATATCCACCAAAGTTCAATGAGATGTCTGAACAACTACAGCCCTTTGGCACAGAAAACTTCCTCCAGGTAAGTGAAAATCTCACCACAGAAAGCAAGAACGTGTCAGGGGCTACTGTGGGACCACAGGACAAGCACCCACAGACCTCAGCACAAGTCTGTCATCCAGGTACCTGAGTTCCTTTTATCTTGTACTGGGTAATGAGATATGAGTTATGAGGCTGATATTTTAGGATCCATTAAGATATTGTTTGCACAGAGAGTGTGCAAAGAATCTGCTGCAAGATATCCATTAAGGTTTTTCATTTTCAGATCAGATTCAGAATATGCACAATACTCTCCTGAAAGTGGAGAGGTTGTGTTTCCTTGGGCTTTCAATAAGTTCCTCAGTTTACTCCACCAATAACAATGAAGCCCATAAGCCTTAAGAAAGTATAAGCGTAAAGAAGAGGGGGTTGGGGGAATCTTTCAGAAACTTAAGAACAGCATGAAATGTTTTCCCTTAGTTTCAAAGAAATGCAAACAAAGGAAAGAAACATCTTTAAAGTTAACACCACCTCATTGTCAATAAATTTTTAGTTTAATCTGTTGGCAACTCTCTATCCACCAGAAGAGAGAAAGAAAAATCACAATTTTCTTGTTTCTATTCTAAACACCCAACAACTTTTTTCTCCCCCCAGAAACTAAGATAAAAAACGTTTTTGCTGCAATTCTGTGAAACAAATAGGCAAACAAGTTTCATAAGATCAGAAGATCTCTAACTTTCTCCACAAGTGAGATTCAACACCAAAGTCATGTTGTCTTACAGATCCCAACTGTTAAGAGATTTACCTTCTTCACTATCTGAAGCACTGCTCTTCTCTGGAAGATTTTCATTCTCATTAAGGTCCAAGGACTTTTCTAAAGACCTGCTCCTAACTAGCTTAGCAGGTTTCCTTTCTGAAGATGGAAAAGGACTCTTTATTTGCTTCTCACTTGGGGACTCCTCCACCTAAAACAACCAAGAGAAGAAAAAATATCAGTAATCAGAGACAATTCAAACAAAAAAAAGGAGAGAGAAAGCTACTTTTAAAGAAGACAGACATACAAAGTAAGCCACAAGTTCTATCTGCTCAATTACCACACAGTCAAGTGCTAATTTCCCCCTTGCTCCTCTACCTCAGCCAGCCTCTCTCCCCTTTATTTAAATATTTAACTAAACTCTGATAACAAGAAATGTACTTATTTTTATGTACTCTTGGTACCAAGAGCTCCCTTAAATAGGACAGTCCTCTCACACCCATCTGCACAGTTTGGGCCCCTTCTCTGCTTCGACATTATCATTTATAAATTCATTAATCTTACACAGATTTACTTTGTATTCATCAGGTTACTTTTTTCCTAACGTTTAGCAAGGGTCCAACAACCCAGAGGGGAAGCACAATGAAAGAGGCAGGGTACCCTTCTCTTTCAGCAAGATTAGATTACCCCAACGACAGATCTGAAAAGTTCTTATTTTGTAAGAAATCATCACCCTTTGAAAAAAGAAGTTTTAAAATACTATCTAGAGCCATCCTACCTATAAAATGTTACTTCTCACAAAGCAAGCAATGGAGTATCATTTGCCATCTCCAATATATAAGCAGGAAGGAAATCCCCCCGAACATCAGTCACTGAATCAATGATGCAGCTCTTAACCTTAAAGAAGAACTGTCAGTTAAGCATATATGTCATTGCACACTTAAAGTAAATCTCCAGGGAAGCTGTATGGACAAAGTCTGTATCTCAAAAGGTCACCCAAAGAGCTTGGCTACCAACTTTGATTCAATCAGTTTTCATTCTAAATCTCTCCTCAAGGCCCCATTGCCACCAGTGGAACATCTGGGATCAAGATGCAATGATTGAAAGAGCACTGCATGGACCATAGTATATATGGTCAGGTCTCCTCAACTGAATTGTTCTGATTCATCTCCAAAACCAACATCCATAAAGATTATTCAGCAGTGACTCAAGAAAGCAAAAGCATCCACTGCTTGAACAGTCATCACGTACTTCCTGTACTTCTTGTTTTTTTCCAAAATAAAAACCTGTTACTTTTTTGTGCAGCAAAGGACTATTAGGAGGTCAATGGCTCAAAAAAAGACAGGCATAAATCTGATTGCAGTATAAGCAGACAAGAGTACTCCTTCAGGGTCAAAAACTTAAAAAGGAAGACTGAATCAGAAAAACAGATCAGTTTACAAATGTTCCAATTGAGAGAAGCTGCCATGTAAGTTATACCCAGTCACATAACAGGATCTAGGACTGAACCAACATTAAATGTCAAAATACCAATAAAGATGGAAGTCAAAAATGAGCTAGTTGTGACAGAACAGTCTAAAAATTGACACACCGATCCAGCACAAACCCAAGGAACTATCATAGCATTTTGTCAACAATCAGGGATCTAGTAAAGTGGGGTTCCCACCAGCAGCATAAGAGCAGCCCATTATGCCATGAGCAGAACAGGAAAGCCAGGCTCAAGTCAAAAGACAAAAGCAAAAGCTCTTAAAAAAAAAAAAAAAAAAAAAAAAAAAAAGCTTTTCATAATGTCATGGAAGAAGAGATTCAAGCTGGGGCTGGAATTAAAGATGTATAATTTATTCCCTATTGTACATTTATCTCCTGAACTAGTCCAGTACTGCTAAGCTCTGTGCCAAGGCTTTTTTGATTATCAGCCTGTGAACAGCAAGATCTGGGATTGGAAGGCCTCCCTACAAGGGATGGAGGGAAGACAATGGTTGCAAAAACAGGCAACAAGGTGGCTCCCACATTCACATGTACTGAGAGGCAGATGAGCCATGACCGGTGTTCCACACAGACTTTCCTCAATCAACTACAGACAGTCATTAACAATATTTTTTTCAAGGTAAGCCAAATACTAGACCAAATCCCTCCACTACTCAGATCTTCCTGTTATGAGAGCTTATGAGGGGAGTTTAAGCCTGTTTCCCTCCAGTTTTTGGAAGGTGGTTAAGTGTGCTTTGTGTCATCACTGTGATGGCTTCTAGCCACCACTAAGCACTACTGCCTCCTCCTACTGCCTTTGTGGCTCTACAAAATATGCTGCAATCCTGGGGCTGTGGAAAGAGCATGGACATTCTTGAGTAATGCCAAGTGACACATACAGCTAAACAAAATCATTGTGCATTTTAGCTACCCTGAAACAGTAAACTAAATAGTTTAGTTACACATTTATCAAGACTGCACTTTTACACTATAATTCAAATACTTTTCAGAGGCAATTTATTCAATGCAGAATCCTGGCATTTTTACAGACCAGATCCCCAGGCATTCCTCCTTACCAAGATGTCCAATTAGATTTAGCACCTGCAAGAGACATCTTGGGGTGTGGCTTCTTTTCCAGGCACAGCAATTATTTTTAATGGCTTGTTCTTGAGCAAATATGATTTACGAGTCCAAACTAAGGCTACCTGTGTAGATTTTTTGTTATCCCAAACAGACCACATTTCAGCAGCCAGTCCTCTCAGTTCTCTCTCCAAAAATCTTGTTTTATACTGCTATGGTTTCCATGCGGAATACCCATCACTCAAGCAACTAAGCTTTAAACATTTGAGGAACACCAATACTGTTTGCTGGATATGAGTCTCTAGCAATTAACTTGGATTTTGGCAAAACTATTTAAATCCTACTTAACCTCCAGATCAGTTCTAGCAAGTGACAAAAGCCAAAAGATTTAAATGGTAGTAAAAACTATTAAAATAATCTCCTTTCTTCCTTCCCCAAATTCTCCAAAGTAAAACCAACAATTAAGTACTCAACCCTAGTGAAGCTTACTAAAAATGCATTAGTGTTTTATTTACTTTTCCAAGATGTTTGGGATACCTAATAACCAAGAGAAAATACCTGCAACTTTTTAGGACTAGAGGTGCACACAGGAACCCCAGAAACTGTGCTAGACACTGTGCCATCTCAGGTATCACTACTAAAGCACTTGCTGTTCACACCAGCCAAACACACTCACAAATTCATACAACATGAATGAACATGAGTGAGGCATTCATGCTTGTTCAGTTTTATGAACCCAAGGCATCAAGGTGAAATTCATCCTTATTATAGCAAGTGTAGGGGTTTTCTCCCTCCTTCTGAAGCATTAAAAAAGGGTTTCATATATTCACAACAGCAGACTAACTGACCTTTGAAGGCAAGGATGACAAAGTGTAACTACTCTTCAATAACCCCTATGCATAGGAGAGACAGTAATATAAAAGGAGATATCTTTTTAAATGACAAATAGCACAAGCAAGAAAGCATTGAAAGTGAAAAAGGCATTACTTTCAAAAAGCACTTGGGTAAAAAACAAATATGGTCCCCTTGGGAATAAGAAAAAAAAACAAGAAATCTTGTTTTTACAGGAAAAAGAAAAAACAGACCAGGGCATAAGCCTCAGCATTGCAGCCAGGCTGTGCAGCAAATTAGCAACAGCACTGCTAAAGCTCCCACCAACAATACTCTTATGAAGAATTTTGCTCATTTTCAAATTTAAGAAACAATCTTGACTTCCCAAAGACGTTTTTGGAAGTTACAAATCTCCATTCATCCTATGCATATATGCTTATCAGCCATAAACAGCAAGAAAGGCTGTGTCAGCACTTACTCCTGGCAACATGTGTCTGTTGAGTGACTCTCCTTCTGTTTGAAGCATGGGCTCACGAACTAAACCAATCATTTTGGGTAGTTTTTCATCCCTTTCTCCAGAATCATCACATATGCTGGATCTGTCCAAACCAAGAAGGAAGATATCTTTGGAGATATAAGCGCTGAGAAATCCAAGAAAGCATCTCGTGTATTTTGCATTGAAAACATGGCTGTTCAGATAACATTAAAAACTACCAAGTCATTCTTCCCACATACAGCTCATCAATACCAAGCCATTTTCCTCATTCCAGCCACCTCTCAGAAGATTCAGCTTCTGATCATAAGGTTAATAAAACCAAGAAAATGAGTGCTGTGGGAAATGAGGAAACAGATATAGCTTGTAACTAATTTGGAAAGAAAATGTTTTAAGGAAGTGTCAGAAAATATTTTTTCCTGCATTACTTATTCCGAAGTTGCAGAGCTGTGACTTTTTAACAGAAAAAACCCAAAACATAACAAAAAAACAAAAAAACCCAAGCAAACCCAAAACAAAAACCAAACCAATCAAACAAAAAAAATATGTTCTATTAAATATTTTCTGATATTTTGAAGCCTGTAATGAACTCGACATTTTTCTCACGAACATACTCAGATAATATAGGATTGAAGAGACACAAATTACATTGTTCAGTTTTTTAGAGTCATGCTTACTTACACAGAGATATGTAAAGTGCTGTTATTAGGTTGACACTGGCAGGTCATAAATCAGTTCACATTTGTTCAAAAGAATCAAGGCAATTCTTTCAAAAAAACCACATAATTATTATCATAATTATTCCATCTTATTATATTATTATTCCTGTTTCTTAATTTAAGCTGAGGACAACACAGAAATAAACTAAGACCTCAGATATCAGGCGAACAAGGCCAAACAAGTATTTCAGCCCCCACAGAGGAGGAGAAGAAAAAAAGCTTCTGAACCATAATATAGCTACATTCTATTCAAACGTTCCAAACTGTTGAAGGGTGTACAGGTGCTGACTAGGCGCCATCATGTGAAAAGGCTGCAATTTAAGCTACCCTATGCTGATCCCCAAGCAGATCCAGGGAGAAACAAGGTCTTCCTCTCACCTCTTCTAAGGGGCCTCAGTTGCACTGCTACTATTTCAGAAAATTCACACAGTTAAGGTTTTATGTACACTCAGTCTATGCAGTACATGCCTTTGCATAATTTTACTACAAGCTCAATCTTTCCAGTAAGGCTACAGCAGCTCTTCAGAAACCAAGTTTCTAAAAGAGAACACTGCTTCTCCCATGGTGTTTCAATAGGCTATACAGCCTCTCCTTACCGAGACTGCCCGTTGTCCTCAGACGACGAGTGGAAGCTCTCCATCTCCTCGCTGTTCAGGCCCAGCTCAGAGCCATAGCTCTGGTGCACCAGCTGCCAGAATTCTTGCTTGGTCAGCTTCTGAAACAAAGCAAGCTAGTCAGGAACCACAGTATGGGACAGTAAGGCACTGGAAGAAAAACAGCAACAAGTTTGAATTACACCACAGCCTTTAACCTCAATTCCGACAAGGACCAAAAGCATTCAGGTATCACGTTTGGAGATTGGGTTTCAGCATTTTGGGCAACTGTACTCCTGGTCTACTTAAGCAAGAAGAGGTTCACAAAATTTGCACAAAGAATTAAAAAAAAAAAAAAAAAAAAAAATCATTTTAAGAAAACACACACCTGTAGCCACTTGCTTATTCACATGTCACCAATATTTTCACAGATAACTTTGAGGTACCTTGCACTTGAACTTCACTTGATATGGCACAAGGTAAGTAAGCATCCCTTTGATTCTGAACAAACTGCTTAATAGATATCCACCTGCTTCCTGAGGATGCTTGGAGTACTTTACAAATTGTGGGAGGCTAGCATTTCAGTCATTACACTGGTGTCTAGGTCAGCCAACTGTCCACTTTGCCAAGACGGGACAGGAGGTCCTCACTTTGTACTACCAGCACCCTCTTTTATGAAAAATAGTTGCTTTTCCCCAGGATTACCTTGGCTCACCACTAAGTCTTCTCTACAGTATCTTTATCCCGTTCTATGAATTCCCGCAGCTACCAAGACATATTTGTTTTAAATCATTAGAAAAGCTAGGAGCTGAAAGTAATACAACACTCATATCTGCAAAGTAAGCAATGAGTTCCAAAGTCCGCCTTGGCTGTAAAGGGCTGAGAGGCGAAAAAAAAAAAAAAAAAAAAAAAAGAGAAAGGGAAGAAAAGGTTTTGGTGTTTAATAGAGCTCAGAAAGCAATACTAGCGATCTTAAAACAGGAGACACCACTCCGGAAAATGTGCCTCGGCCACCATCCATATTGATCAAGGGAACAGGACTGTGCTAATGAGGTAGTAACACAAGTAGTGCTTACTATTTGCATGAAACGATGACATTAAATACCCATGCATTATTTAAAGCGCCTTTAAATGATCCTCTCCACCCGCTTGGTTCACCTGTAGAGTGTTAGTTACAGAACCCGCAATTTTAGACAGGACACGGAGGAGCTGACCCGCAGCGCAGGATGTAAATGCGCGCCCACAGCCGACCCGGCACTCCCCGCGCCCCGTCCCGCTCCGCGACCCACCTGGCGCGTCCCGCCGAGCAGCGCTGCTCCCGGGACAGCCCCCCTCCCGCCGGGAGCCGCCGCCGGCGCCGCCGCGCTCCCACTTCCTGCTGGGCGGCGGCGCCGGGGCCCGGCCGGGGCCGCCCCACCGCCCGCGTCGGGCCCGCGGCAGCGCCTTCCCCGGCTGCGGCCGCCGGCCCGTGGCGGGACCGAACCAATCTCGGCTCTCGCCGCCGGGCCGGGCCCCACGGGGGTCCCGCCGCGTCCCGGGCTGCATCGCATCGCACAGGAGCCGCTCCCCCCGAGGGCCGGGACAAACAGCCCAATTCAGGGGACGAGGAAGGGCTTTTCCCTCGGGTATTTTCCAGCACAGCACGGTTTCGGGCGTTTCAAAAAGCAGCTGGCAACAAGCACCCTATTGGCAGAGATCAGTTTCAAGGCATTTAATCCTAGCGAGGGCAAAGTAAACATTAAAACACAAAACACACCTATAAAGCAAGGGTCATAGCAGCTAATGCCAGCCTCCCTCTGCAAGGGGGTTTGTTGTACAGAGCAATGCAGTGCTGAAACACGTGCATCCACTTACAGCCTTAGAATGCCTGGGGAAAGTATCTTCTGGAGCAATAAACTCATAACCACAAACAACTATCTGCAGTTCTTATGAAATGGCCAAAAAACAGGGGTGGGCATTACATGGTTTCAAAATACAACCGAGTTGGATCTTTAGCTAGCACACCTTCCAACCAGGAATCAAAGAACAGAAACAAAGCCATTTTCATTTCTGTTGTGCGGTATTTCCAATGCCTTGATTCTCAGTCATAATGACAAAGAGCTAATGCTGCTAATTAAATTCACCGGTATATTCTGCCTATGGCCAAATCAGTCTGCCCTTATACAGTCAGACCAATACTTCAAGGAAATCAGAGAAGCTTTTCAGCTTCTATAAAAGAATCTATAAAGCTGTTTCCTGTTGTTTTGTAAAAGCAATGTTACCAACTTCTGCTTCTAAAACGGAATAATTGAGCAGACTGCAAGAATCCTTAGCTCAGCTAGATATGAGTTCTTAGTGGTCCCAAGCCAAAATCAAACGAAACTTGCTTTATTGTATCAGAAAGAGTCAGTTCTGAAAGCAAAGAAGGGCATAAATTTTCAGGGTCAGACTTCTGCTTCTGAGAGGATGGCTCAGAGAAGCTGTGAAGCTTGAAAGGTGAAATCCAAACCTGAATTACTTTGCCCATTCAAGGTGATAGCCTACATTGAGTTTTTCCTCAGCTCTCTTTGTATACAAAAACAAAGATTCCAAGAAGCAGCTGGGATACACTTTTGTCTTTTCATGCAGAGCGCAGATCTTTGCTTCATGCCAGACAAAGCGGTGTCATGGCACAAGCAATACTACAGAGTACCACCGACAGAAGCAAAGCCGATGATTTTTACCCTCTATGGACAAATGTAGAAATAAGAGCAAGACCTGCAATACAGGTTGACTAAAGAGACAATCACCACACTCGTGCCAGGCAACTCTGATACAGGGTTCTGATACAGAGTTCTGTTTGCAGAACAGGGGACGGAAACAGCAAACTCTCCCCCTAACTGCCTAAATAAGAAGCTCAGAATCAAACCAAGCCTTCTTTCATCTCTTTAATTAATCTTGTTGTACACTACACAAAGGTGCAAATAAGCATTTCTTTTCACAACCTTCCCTGAGAAACTGCTGGGGAAGGCTGATCTGTCCAGGGAGATGTTTGCCCCAGGAAGCCCAGCTGATCAGAAATTCTGGTCCCTTCTCACACCTTTAGACTTACCTGCTACAATGTCTCCGGAGACAGGTGCAAATCTCTACCCAGCAAAGCAAAAGAAGAACAATAGGAAAAAAAAAATCCAACTCTAAGGCAGAGGACTCATGGGAATTGAGACCAATTAAGTTAAGATCTTGTTCCATTAGAAATAAGGAGCATTGTGTTTGTTTGGGATTTGAATGACCTGCCTAATTACATTTTAATTTGTTCCTTCTCCCTTAAACTTGAAGGATATTTGACACCCATAAAGTTTAGGAAAATAAAGCAAAACTGTGAATGGCACCACTCTTATTACTAATAGCAGCCATGAATAAATTTATTGTACTAAGTTGGAAAGCCCACTGCAAAACAGGATTTTTGGCTGATTTTATAAACTTAAGTATTATTGAAAGCTGCAGTGGCTATGGAAGCAGCTATCTGTTTTATCAAGACTGGTGTCATGTCTCTTCCAGTCCTGCATTAATGATTCCTTATTTTCCATGATGCTGGGTCATTTAAAATACAATGGCAAGGTAAAAAGCCTACAAGACTCACTCTGCACACATTTTCCAACAGGGACAGGAAAAAGAAAAGTGCAATTTTCCTTCAAAGAAAAGTCTTTGCATGGGCATTCAAATAATAAGAAGCCTAAGGAAGGCCCATATTAAGAGGAAAGTACCCACTGATTCGCAGAGGAACTAAAGTTGAAGGGCACCAAAGACACTATAACATATTCTGAGCAAGATCTGAAGAAGTTACGAGCTACAGAATTGTAACTGAGCTAAAAGGTACTAGGAGTCCTGCCAGAGCAGTGGTTCAAAGCTGAGGGAAAACATCTTGATGGATGAAGTAAGTTTAAGCCTAGAATAGCATGTAACCATTTGCTGGTTTTCTTGCACAGCGCAAGTCACTTCTAAGAGAAAGGCAGACTTGTCAAAGGACTACTTGTTCAACCACCTAGGATATGCAATACTTGAGAGGTACAAGGCAGAACAGCCACCAGATGGAGATCTGAGAAAGGATATGAGGCTGACCCCACCAAGAAGTTCTGCAGGTGGTGAAAGCGTAAGATTTATCAGGTAAAGCAGATGGGTCACTCCTCAGAGGTGAGTCTTCATAGCACAAAATCTATGCTCACAAATGCTGAAGAGACCAGGGCCTGAAAATTACCTCTGCACAGACATGATCTCAAGCAAATGTAATTCCAGTCACCTGGATCCAAATCCTGAAAATTGGGTATTATTCACCATCAGGTGGGGCAATCCAGCACTGTGACATCCATACTCAGAGTTATACTTCTGATGACAAATTTATTTCATAATTTAACAGTTGGATGTAATCTCCAGGACTAGAAGATGTGCTCCAGAATATAACCAAGCTATTCACAGGCTTTAAAACATTTAGCTATTTACAGATGAAACATTAAAACCAGCTCCTTTTAGAAATGGTTCCAGAGTGAGATTTGTTTTTGTCAAAAGCCTTAAATTCTGATGGCATCCCTTTGATCACTGAAGCCAGGAACACCAAACTGTACATAGTCAGGCATTGTATTCCATGGCAAGGCCTCAGGTGCATGAGACATTTTCCAAATGTATGCTGTTCCTGACATTGGAGTGGTGGGAATACGACAGCAAAACGGCTGGAAAACACCAAGGGCTCTCTTTTAGTATTAGTTCAGTAGACAGCTGCCATTCCAGTAGTATCACTGGATTCAGCTCCAGCAACTTCAGTTTCTATTATCAACTCCATAGTGCCCCTTTATAGCTTTATCTAGTAAAGAAGATAATAAAGAAGGCTGCCAGGTGACTCAAACACATTCGAGCAGAGAATCACAAGTCATTACTACATTTCAGAAGCAGGAGCTCAACCTAATAGAAATCCTGTTTCAATAATAGTTACAAACATACTACATTAAAAAGTCCTACACACATCTCATGACCATGTTCCATTTTACAACTGAGAACCCCAAGCAGAAATTCTCAAAGACAGATTTATATCTTTTAACATAATTCAGTAAGGATGCAAGCAAGCTAAGAGCAAGATATGATAAAATAATAAGGATAGTTCCCAAGCTTCTCAAATGCATTGGTTCCTAAAACCTGCTGGCTTAATTAATCTCATCTTGCATGCAGTCCATGCTTCCTGCTTTCTTATCTATCCTTTAGCTACTACTCTAATGTGGAAAAATGATCCTAATATGACACTCATTTCAGTGTCACAGAGAAGAAACACACAAGAAAAACTAATACAGAACAGTACAAAGCTTGTTACCTCTGTTCCAGCCCTAGGACAGGTTTGTATACCTGAATGTCTACACACTGACCCTCCAGCACCACAAACTAATCAACTGAATAATGCAAGTATCATTTCTCACAAACTCTGCACAATGAGAGAAAGCAGGGTTACTCCCAGTTGTACATTCCAGTTAAAAGGTGACATAGTACGTTGTGGCTGGATTCAAGACAAGATGGTTATGAAGTTACAATTAAATAGTATTTGATTTGGGGGACAAGAGATTTGCAAGAAACACTGGTTTTGCCTTAAATAGCACTTCTTTTTATTTTCAGCTTTTGTTTTGACAAAACGTGCTCTAGTCTGCCCTAAAATTCATCTAACAAAAAGAAAAAAGTGTAGCTACTACATTTAAGTAACAGAACACCTTTAAACCTTTGGGGATCATTGCACTGTTATATATGAATATTTTGGAATGTAATTTCAACTGTGTTAAAATATTTAAACAATGAGAGACATAAACAGGAAGGAACTGGTTTATGAAAGTTGTCTTTCTTACAGTGATGTGGTGCAAGAGCGTCATTCCATTTTGAGAAAGATTAGCTGAAGTATCCACAAATTGCAATATAATTAAGCTAACTAGCCGAAATTGCCAAAATACATTTCCATATCATACAGCCTGCCTTAATTGCATTTATTCAAGGTCAGCAGAGTTGTAATGAGCTGGCTGGCAAGGATTCAGCTAACCTGAGAAGGAGTTTTGGCCTTTTTCCTTGAAAGTTTTCACTGAGAAAACCTCTTGCCTTTTTGATCACAAATTAGGCACAGAAAATGTGAAGCAAATGCATATCAATTTAGTAACATATGCTTGAGCTCGTAGTGAAGAGAAGCATGCAACCTATATGCAAAGACAAACTCCTCCTTCAAGAGCAGACTTGTAGGTGGCAGTCTGAGAAGGAAAAGATAAGAATTTTGTCTGTGATCTGAAGTACAAGGAACCAAAGCAGAACATCAGATTAGAATTCCAATTCAGAAAGGAAAAGCTAACTTCAAGTCTCTTATTCTCCAGAGGCACATCTGTCTACATTAGAAAGTTTATTTGATTGCTTAACCACAGATACTGATGCAGACAAGCTTACCTTATCCAGCAACACATTCTGCCACAAACGGAAGATACTGAGGTAGCTTCTGTCTCGTGCACTGAATGACGTGAAGAAAAACTGCAGAAAAAAAAACAAGCTCACATGTAGCTATTTTCAAGAATCCCAGAATACTTCCTTGTATCTTGAATATCCCAAGGTTGTCAGTAACAGCTTGCCTCATTTCACATTCAACAAACCTGGGGTGTATTCCTCAGGTTCCTGAGTTTGTATCACTTTCAGTGAGTAAGATTATGCCCCCCAGTGTCCACACAGTATATGAAGACACTTGCTGTTCTGGCCATGTGACTATCCTTGGCATAAGGGAATAACTTATCATCAACTTAAACACGCTTAAATTTTTCCCACAGGAGGTTGAACAAATCAGAAATACATATACTTGTTTCTTCCAGGCAACAGCTATTTCCATTCTTCTGCCACATAAGCCTCTTACTAAGATTTTCACACAAGATGATGTGAAATTAAAATAATTAAAATATTAGATCAAATTATATGCATAATTTCAAGTATTAAAATCTTTCCCATTGGAAAGTTGGGGGTTTTGTTAGCAAAGAAGTCTATCTTTCTTGTCAATGAAAGTTAATACTAGATGAATTGAGAGGAAACAGCCAAATATGAGGAATCACAGTTGCTTCCCAAAGAACAGGTCCAGGTTCACTGTGGAAAGCTCTGTTCTTTGCCAAGAATTATTATTTTCAAGGCACTTATAGAAGAACTAATCACAATGTGTATTGCATATAAGACACTGCATTATGCTTTTCATTTTTTCAAATACACACTCAAAAACTTCATTTCCTAGCCTATGTTCTGGGGTAAATTTCTCCATTACTTGAAACCTATGACATCACAGTCCTTCTGTTTTCAGTAGTCTTCTTCAAGGAGCACTTGAAATCCAGCGACTTTGATATTTTTCCAGTGTGAAGAACATACATTCTAAATGCATGCTTTGAATTTTAGTTTTTCTTTGAATAGGTGAGACAAACTCTCCTGGTTACTGTATCAACAGCACAAAGGGATTCTGCAGTCAAACTGGAGTTGAATTATCAAGCAAACATGCAGAGGGACCAAACCTAAGTCTGCCTTCTAATCCCAATCACATTTAAACATTTGACAGGGAAGTTACTTATGCAAATGTAGACTAAAACAAGTGCTGTGTTCTGGACTCTGTAATTTAGCAAGAACATATTTAAAACCAGCTTTTCACCTTCTCTCCTTTTGTTGCTATTTGTATGGCATTTGGAATGAGACGAGCAGTCTTCTCCTTTGTCATGAAAGTGATATCCTTCAAAGCAATAGAAATCTAAGCAGAAACACATTTAATAAGACATATTAAAAATAACTTATGACTACTTTAGAAGTTACAGAACATCCAAGAGGAACTCAAACTAACCCCAAACCCTGGAATGCAACTCAGAGGAGATCACAAAGGCAATTACTGTCTCCACTTGCTGCTTTAACAGCAAGCATTTCAAAGTAGAAGCTGAGGTGACTTAAGAGTCATCTCCTTTCACATTAGGACTAGGGAAGTAAGCTGTTCTTTCCACTTTTCTTCCACTCCTCTAGCCACAATCCCAACCAAACACAAATCACAGATCTGAAAGTCAATCCCAATCAGAATTCTATATATAAGGCAGGACCTAGATGAGAGAGACCAGATTACAGACTTATCTCACAAAAGTTTACAATATAGTCCATTTTCAAAATTTTATTTGCAGTCTAGTCACTGCAGGAAATTCTTCCTGCCTAGGCACGTTGGACTTGTATATTAGTAGTTGAAATGTTTCTGTTTAGAAGAACATGGTCTAGCTGCAAGAAGCCATTTCCTTCCAGCCTACCCCCTCTTTTCTTGAATATAAGGCTGTGCTGCCTTAGAGAAAGCATAGAGAAAGGAAGAACATACAGCTCTAACTTGTTTTTTCCCCTGCGTGAGCAGAAAGTTCTCCCTCACTTACTCCCTCTCTCTTTGCAACAACATAGCCTGCTAACGAGGTCCCAAACTTGGCTCTACCACTGTAGCTGATGAGCTCAGATTGCCTAAAGGTATTGCTGAAGATACCACTCTGCTATACAGGCAGAAACAGGTTACCAGGATGTGTGCTGTTTTGGATTAAAAAAAAAATCCAATCAGTCTTTGAATAGTTTATATACTCAAGGGTATAATTCCAAAGAGTTTACTTTTTAACTAATTTCACATCCAAAATAAGAAATATTCAATCATCAAATCCATCTGACCAAAGTAAGCTTGGTTTTCAATTAAGTATTTCTACAGTCCCTCACAGTCTTAAAAACACAAGCTATTTGTTGTTTGTCCTGTGTATTTCAGGCCACTCAAATGTGAGATACTAACTTAAGTTATAAGCAATCTCACAGTTCACAGAACATTTTGACATATCCATCCTCTGTTTGGTAGGTTATCTTCCTTATTCACTGCTTCATGCAAGTTCTACAGCAGACAGAACAACTGTTTGAATGAAAAATTTTAACTCATTAACCTAATCTGACAGAAATAAAGGGCCAACATATCACAAATATCTACCTTTGCTCGTACTGTTCAAAAGCCACAGACCACAATATGAGAACTTGCAGAAGTCATTTATCAATTCCTTTCAGCTCTTCTTAGATGCTGATATTTGCATGTAAGGCTAAGTCAAGTGAGGTTTAATACTGCAGAGTTCTTGAATAGGGTAAAACTACATACCATGCTGTGCCCTAGGACTTAAAGTAGGAAATTATGTATTACATTGCTTTATAGGACAACTTTGCATGGTAAGGAAAGGCAAATTGACATCCAGAAATGTAAAAAAGCCAGCCTTAGCATAATTCCTAAACTTCTTATGCTGAATGACTGACTGAACAGGCTTACTTCAGCATTCAGATGCTTCCATTGCTACTCTTGTGTCACAGAGAATTGATCTGCATTTCCACTCAGGGATGCAGGCTCTTTCTTGACAGCCCAGAGTTACTAGTATGAGATTGACAGGATGAGATCTGAGAGACTCTAATCCTATATCCCGATAGGATAGAACAAAGAAAATGTGGGATTCAAGTGAGCTAAGAAATCTTACTGTGGTCTCCCATCGGAAAATGTTGCTGTGGAAACAGAGCCAGTTTTCAGAGAGATACAAGCGTCCTTGCAGCAGGATATCCTTCTGGAGTGCACAGGCATAATCTATGTACAGAGAGCAAGAGCAAGTTTTTCACCCACTGACTGCAGCACAGTTGACCCAAACCTGTTAGCTAAAATGAGATGGGTATTACAAAACAATAAAAAGCCATTTCTTTCACTTCTAAGAAGTCTGTGAAAGCAGACTTGTACTGGCATCCAGATCATTGTTCTGGGAACAGCCCAAAGCCAGAGTTGATACAAGGTACATCCGTGTGAAGACAGCACTCCTTCTATCAACCCCTGTGCATTGTCTTAGTTTTTCAGAGAGGAGGTGTCAGGCAAGACCAGAAATACATGGGCGAAGTATTCATTAGTCAAACTTCAAAGCGCCTAAACAACAGAATACACAAACATTTTATAGTGCAACAGATTATACTGTCAACTCCTACATAACAGTAGTTCTGTATCTGGTATTGTCTGAGCCAGAATTTTGATTTTTGTGTACTACAAGAACAAAACAAATACAGTTCTTGTTCAAATATCAAGAAGTTCAGGAGTCCCCAACATCCTACCTTCAAGCTATATCTGCTTTTACAGAAGCTTTCATTACAATTTTTAAAATTCTCTAGCATTTTCCCCCTCAAACAATCAAGTGGAAATAAGTCTTCTTGTAACAAGAATGAGGCATGTATAGAAGCCCTTTGAGATGTAACTACAAATAGAACTACAGAAGCTTAAATCTAAAAAAGTAAGTTGCAAGTGCATATTTAAGAACAGTCAGATACCAAAATGCTGTCAGAGGAAGGCAACAGAAGTTTGAAGTTAAGGACTTGAGGAAAGAGTTACTAAGCAGCTGCATCTGACTTCTGTGGTTTTTAAGAGAGGGATTCAGACCTATAAAGGTCATCACTGGGAAAGTGATGAGCAACTCCACTCTGACCTACCTAGAAAAAAGGGAATATTAAAACAAACAGAAGAGATTAGCATTTCTCCTTCTAAGTTTTCAGAACCAGTAACTTAATATATTGCTTGAAAACAACATTTGCAGGCAAATTATAGTGGCATTCCTTTAAGCTCTCATTTAGGCAGTCTAAATAATTCCTTTCATTTTAAGAAAATAATATTTTATATAATCTTTATATACACTGCTCATTACAGTGGAATAGTTGCTTATTTTTAACAGCTGATTTAAAAACAGAAGAAGTAACAACTCTTTTAATGAACAGCAGCAAGCTATGGCTTCTGTACCAAGTTTCTCTACACAAGCAGAGGAAGAGCTCCTTGCTTGGAGGATGCAGAAAGTCATTTCAAGGAAACACTGCTTTTTATGGGGTAAAAAAAATTATAGAAAAGTAGTGGCTTTGCTTCTGATGGAACAGATTGAGATTAACCCATTACTAAATTTTTCTCTAAATCATAGGCAGTCTCTTCTTTGAAACTGTACTTCAGAGTTTGCTCCATGGCTTTCTACATCAATCAAGTGTAAGGAGAAACATCAAAATAATGCTTTGAAGTAATATCCTTTCCTTCTGTTTTACGTCCCTACTGAAGTATTTTAAAAGTGCAGAAGGCATTTCAGAGGATAACTGCCTCCTGAGGCTGGAAAAAGACACAGGGATTTAACTGCTTCAGAGCTGCTGCTTGCATACTGCAAGCATACACTAAACAGCTTCTCAATACTTAATTCTTTAAAAGTTGCATAAAATGAGAGATGAACTTTAAATAGTCACAATGCTACTCTTGTATGAAAATATACAGTATATTTGTTACACAAATACAATGCAGGCAGGTGATAAAGGAGGGAATAAGGTGCATCACTAAGCAAAGGAGGTAAGGTTATATGCTTGCCTTCTTTGTTTTCTGCAGTAGAGTGAAACAGAGCTGAAAAAGGAATATTTCAGTGCTGAGAAAAGTTATACATCATAGTTTGATATTCTCTGACACCTGCTTCTTTCCTCTCCCATTCATCTGAAAAATAGTCTTTTAAATTACAGCCACCCACCATGTCACTCAGTTCCAAGACTTACATTAATCAAGGTACTTTGGGCAAGGATATTAATTCCAGGGAGCAAGGGGAAAGTTTCTGTTAAGGATGATCTACCTAGCTAATAGAATGTCAGAAACAACATCTTTTTTTGTTCGTTTTGGGTTTTTTGTTTTGTTTTTTTCCACGAAGCAGGGAGTAGAGGACAGGAAAATGGACCTGGCTTTCCTTGAAGGTATCATGCCAGTTCAAAGACAGAAGAATAGGGAGTTATCAGCTGTAGTTAGAATTTGCCATAAAAAACCCAAAATGTTTTGACCTGACTGCAGTCTGAAGTCAAACAGAAGACAAGGACATTTTCTGTGACTACTTCTTACCTACTATGAGTCTCTCTGAGTCTGGCAGATGAGAAAACTGTCTCTTAAATTCCTCACTCCTATATTTGTAAGTGGAACTTGAGAGCTGCAACAAAGAACAATAAAAGGTTATGCAAACAGATTTATTTTTAGCCATCAACTGTCTTCATACTGGATGTGAAATTTTATCTTGAAGAACAAATGAACCTCAGAAGAGCAATAAAGAATACGTGGTATCTAAATGTGATCATTGCTGTAACTTTATGCTTACTTATGTATGAGTATTTATTTGGCACGGGTCAAACTATTTCCTGTATCAGGCCAGATGCCAGTCACAAGGCATTACAGTGCTATGACAGCAACCTGCTCCACCCATAAGGAGATGAGAGCCCTTCTGGGACTAAATATTCCAGCACAGACTAGAGTGAAGAGGCAGCAAAGCCACAATATAGAGGTGACAGAGACAAATCAAGCCCTCATGTAGGCCAATAGAACACAAGGACAGAACCTAGAACATCAATGTCTACTTGGAATAGCATTTCAGGAATACTACAATGCACTAGATTTTTCACCAGTTGCTCTAACTAGACTTGTACGAATAAAGGTAATAGTTTCCTCCAGGAAGAATGGATAGCAGCATCACCACTTCTTGATTTTGTCATGTTCTATAGTTCATCCCATTTTAAAGATATCACTGTCTATGATTTTCTTAAGATTCAAATTGGTCAGTAAACTCACAACAAAGAGGACTACTTCGATGGACTTTAATTCTTTATTCCTATAATGTGCCTGCTCCCATTCAAATTAAGAGCTTCAGCACATTCTCCAGAAAATATTCTGTGTAAAAGTCCTACTTTTCATTTTCAATCATAAGAGGATTATATTTTTCTTAACAGATACTGGAAATTTATTTTAAAGGCGGCCTTAACTAAATGCTGTATAAGGCCATTACTCAGCTGGACTCAAGCTATTACATGAAGAAATCACTTCTAAGTGTTCCTAGAACCAGGTATAAATAGATTACAAAAGCCTCTTTCAGACTTTTTTTTTAACCTTTCTAAAGATCTCAAGCACATGGATGCTATTCTCTACTTGAGCACCTGTATTACTGCAAAACTTGACATTCACCATTAAACCTATCTCCACCATAAGATTAGTTGCCTTTTTTTTTTTTCTGGGAGAAGGGAGAAAGGAGGCAAAGAACCACTTTTGACTGTACGACCTTGCAGCATGCTTACTTTTGACACATTCTTGCAGCACCTTAGTTGGCCACTACCCTTTCACTATGTTTGCACTTGTCTAAAAAAACCCCCAGACAAAAACAGATTTATCTTCGGCTTGATGGTCTTCTAATAAACTAGAGCCAATAGTGCTCCCACCTCCTCAAGATTCCCACATTTTGCTCTTTTTCACCGAGGACATTGCTGCTTCTTGCAGTTGAAAAGCTCCCTGAACACCACCCTACACTCACATCCTACAATGGTCTGGCAGCATATTCTTGAGAATTGATCTCTTATGCAAGAAGAGCACAAGTGCAACCTCAAAGTCAAGTGTTTAAGTGGATGTAACACGTGAGAGCAAAGTTGCCCTGACACCGATCAGCTTTAAAAAAATGTCCGTTTACCTTCTACTACCATGAATAAAAGGAAGTCTTTATGTTTGACCTCTGTTTGAGTACATATTTGTTGTCCACTGATATTCTGAGCATTGTAATTCAAAAAGGCAACAAGGGATTGAGACAGAAAATACATCCACTCCTCCCGTTCTGAGAGAAGTAAACATGAAAGGTTTGGGTGTAGCTAAAGAGGAACATGTTAGACATGTCTCCTCTAAGCTGTAATGCCTCCAGTTATATTTCAGTTATTTCTGTGATTATAAAAATAATATTCTTGGAAAGTATGTCATCTGCTGAAGTAGGTGTGCTATGGTTTCTTGGCTTGCAATATCCAGCCCTGAAATGCACACTTTTAACTGATCATCCAAAAAAGGCATCCAATATCTCCACTGCTTTGAAGAAACCAAGTTCTTCACAATTACTCTGGAAAGAGACATAGGGAAAACATAAATATTAACTGACATCTGTAAAGTTTCCACCTGTAGTTCCAGATTCCCTATGGTTTACACACAGTCCTACCTCAGTTGACTTAAGTCTGGGCTTGTGTTGGTAATGCCAGCATATAGGGAATAAAAGAACTAGCCTGCCATGAGAGGAAAATGAAAGTCACAATTTGTGAAATCATGATTTAGGAAGCAATACTTTTAAGGAGAAATGTAGTTTCTCAAACATGCTGTATGCAAGAGATAAGAGCTAAAATTAAGTTCAGTGTTTTTGTGGTTGCAAGATGAATCAAAGAAAATAGGAGCATTACAGTGTCACAGTACATTTGTATTAGCGCCTAAATCAGCCAGTTCAACAGCTCCAAGAATCCAGACTCAGGATACTCAGTTTTACTTAGAACTGAAGTTTTTCTAGGGCATAAAACCTTCTACAGCTTGTCTTGGAAACCCTTGCTGGCATTTAGAAGTGTTGGGACGAGTGATGGGACTATAAGAAATCCTTATTAATTTTAGATTTCTACTGAGCTCTTAGGACACTTATGCAAAGTCTGCTCTGAATGTTTATCTAATCAGCAGAAAAATGTGAGCACAAACTTTTGAACCTTAACTTCTCCCTGCTTTGCATAAAAACTAGCTCACTTAAATCTGTAATTTTTACCTACTCAGTAGGTGGCTTGGTGATTAAGAGATCCCTCAACAGACTTGGGGAAACAGAAGGGGAAATTTTAACATTATTGGCAATTTCAACTTCCTTCAAGTGAAGAAAACAAGATATTTCTATTAATACAACATCTCTCCTAATCACTACTATAATGTCCAACATGTGGCAGTATTTGAAGTTGCTACCTCTGAGTTACAAAATCTAGCACCAAATATTAAAAGAGGAAAGGCGTAAAACAGGCTGGAGCATGGCACTCACAAGATGAAAACAGCAACTTTTTTTTAATACATACGCACTTCTAAGTCTAATTACAGTCATCAGGCAAATACTTGGCCTGAGGATAATATTAGGCATTTACGGTTATGCTATATTTAATCACCAAGGAAATTATTAAGAGCAGCCAACAACTTATAACCATTTTTCATCCGAAGCCACAAAATATACTAGAAACCTGTAAAGCAGCATAAATAGAAAACCATTTTCAGTGACAACCAGAAAGTTTTACAGAAGACCATAATATAAGAACCAGATACTGGAGACACATAACCAAATGATTCTCAAACCTTGTTTAGAAATGGACCAGTTCAACTATGTAAAGTCATGTTCCAGAAAAAGAATATGTAAACTTAAATAGAACTAAGCCAAGTTATTTATAGGATAGAAGCCTGTTAAAAAAACTAGCTTCTCTTCACATTTCTATCTTCAAAGTGTAGCCACTGCAAACAATTTGAACCATTAAGCAAACTGCAGAGGAAAATTAAGCAACACCTTCTTCCAGGAAAAATCCTAATCATTAGGAAATTATTTGATTGCAGATATCACTAAGCATGCAAATAAGCAATCAACTTCAGCAGAATGGTGTGCACATTTTTAAACAATCACTAATGACAGCAATAATTCTGCATTTGCTTTGTTAGTGTTTTCCTTGGTTTTGAGACACCACAAAACCCAAGCTACCTGATAACTTGCATTCTATAGTTGTGACATGCAGCTATGAATACAACAGCTTAGATCACAGGTAAATCGATCTCAGCAGTAGGGTAGTAACTCTCATATCATCTCATTTCAAGAGAGGTCACCCACTGAGCTTCAGTCTCAGTATCAGTTACTACCACAGGCTCAGGGACCCAGAATCAAGCAAACCTATAAGCAAGCTGCCCAAACTACCACTTCTTTTATGCTCAGAAGCCTCACTTAACCATCAAAATATGGCCCATGGAACTTACAGCTTTGTTCCTCTGTCTAACAACATGTTAAAATAAATAAATCCAGGCCACTAATTCTAAACCTCACTTAAAAGATCACCTGACTAGGTGATCTGACCCAAAGGCCTGTACTTTCCTATGAAATTTCTAGACATGGTCAAAACCAAATTTGGGAGATATTAGTAAGGTTAGGATAAAAGTACATTTTAACCTTACATTAGCCCATTAAAACAAACATTAAGTATTCTGGCAAAAGCTGTTGCATTTCTATTGAATAACGATTTCTTCCGTATTTAAATTCATTTAAAACCCTTCTCAGCATCAGGAGACAGAAAAAGAATACAGCCTCCAGAAGAACAACATCCAGTCAGAAAGAAGTCTGGATTTTACGCAAGTCTCCTCTGTACTGAAAATATTCTTTAAACTTATCTGATACAGTAGGGAACAATATCAACCCAAAACCTACAAAAAAAACCCAAAGCAAACAAACAAAAAACCAAACCAAAACAAAAACCCAAACAAACAAACAAACAAAAACAAAAACCACAAAAAACAAACAAACAAACAAAAACCAAAACAAAACAAACAAAAAACCAACCAAAAAAAAAACCAACCAACCAACCAAACAAAAAAATCCACCTAAGCAAAACATACCAAGATCCCACTTTCAGTGATATTAAAACCTCACTAGGGGAGATGACAGCCAAGTTAACGGTCTTGAACAAAAGCCTCATTTAACAGTGTAAGGCAGACAAACATAAGACTTCACATACCACATACTCCAAGACAGATTCAGGCAGACTCCCTTAATAACACAGGAACACTTCCCATGGTACACTGAGATGATCTCTCACCTGTAAAAGGTGTCAGGTCTGACAAGTCTTTCCATCACAGAAATGTTGATCCCACTGCAGCCATTTTTCCAGTCCATAAAAGTTTATTAATCATCCAATCTAATCTATAACACACGAGCCACAGCTCTCCAGCCTTAAAACTAAAGTTTCAATGACCAAATTTCCATTTGGAAAAGAATAAAATATATATTTTACCTTTTTTAATTAAAAGCCACTCTGGATGGAAAAATCCATCCTACCTACTCCTTATCTCCCTTCTGAGGTAGGGATTAAGTTTCTCAAGTCTATTAGCAAAAGGACTTTTCTTTTTCACACTTATTCTTGTGGT